TGTTGATGTCGCCTTCTTGCTCAAGAGGCCACTTGTCAGGATAAAATATCTTGCAAAACTAACAAAGGTGCGTACTTTAGTCTTTTTGTCACCTCTATTCCGCAAATTATTCGTTGCCTAGGTTCTGACTTATCATAGGGTCTTGATAAACTCAACCATTCTGAACTCTCAGGTAAAGCGTTGAAAATATTTGAGGATTTGCAAGAAATGGCTCGTCGTCGCGTTAAAGAAGAACACGCTAGACTCGAAGATCTATATGCAAACAACACTGATGCGACTCGAGCCCGCAATCCGCAAACGCTTGCTCCAGTTGAAGATGCTCATATTGACCGTACTAGACAAGTCTCGGCTAAAGATTTTTTTGATCTCGACTTTCCTCATTCTAACGGCCAACGAATTGAGTGCCGTGTAGAATTGATACTCCGGGATAATCTTTCAGACGAAATTGACCCTGGAGATGTTCTGATCTGTGCATCAGAAATCACACCAGAAGCTACACATCGTTACTTGCTATTTCCACCAATCGATAGAGATTTTATATCCGCTTGCGCTGGTGAGAAGCCTGATGAGCTAATAATCATGATTCGTGGGATACAAAGACCTATAGAATGGCGAGAAAGTTTTCTTCTGAAGGGTGCTGAGCCCGAGACTGCTGCCGAGTGGATAGAAATGCTAGGGTCTATCCCAATGCCTCAACCAGTTTTGAGCTCGATACCAGATAACGCAGATACAATATCAATGATGTCTATGGATCCGTCAGAAATAAGCGAGGCCGGAGATCCTGATGATAACGAATTGCCAATTGGTGCTCGTCGTAGAAGAAGAAAGCACCACTCAAAAGAAAGACCGCGGTCTTCAACCTTCTCTACTATGTCGTCTGTAGAAATCCCAGCTCCCCTAAAGATAGACCGAAAAGAAACATCATCCCCGCCACGGAGACATCGGGATGTTTCTCATGGCGAAAGTACTGGTCAACCATCTAGAAGACATTCCAAATCCTCAAGGTACCATTCTCACACTCGTACTCGATCCACGCCAAGTTCACCTCTGTCAAGCCAACTTGTTCTTAACGATTCGGATGAAGAAAGCAGAGATAATGATGATTTTGAGGAATCTGAGAGTCGTGCATCTACACCAGGCAGAACATCTCGCCGACCCCTCACACCCTCTGAAGAATTACCCTATATACCTAAAGTTCGCAAAACAAGCTCTGCTGCCTCAATCGATAGCGAGTCCACCACAAAAGATTACATTCGCCGCACCTCGTATGATCCAGTAGATCCAGACGATACATCTGAACGCTCTCGTAGCCCTGATTTTGCAGACGAAGATAGCGCTCCACCACCACCGCCAGCTCATCGTTCAATGTCTCCTAGTGGTCTCAAACAACCAATAATCATTGAGCCCCCAGCGCCAAGATCAAGGTCTCGACGTACTTCCTCTCCACTTAAGCATGAATACCGACCTTCTGATATATCCGATATATCGGAGAGGTCAGAGAGATCTGAGATTTCTGTTTCCGAGGTTTCTGAAATGTCATATTCATCATCTGAAGAATCCGACACGGAACAAGAAGAGTCATCATCTAGTTCCGATGAAGATGAACTAGATGAGCTCGACGAACTTGAAGCTGCTGATCTTCCCGAAGCCGAACCTGCTCCAACCATATATGGCAGACGTGCCATTTCACCTACAACCTCTCTTTACAGTCTGCCCAACGTTACTTTGCCACCTGTGAATTCCACGCCTCGAATTCCAATCGTACCAAAGGTCGATAATTCAGACATCAGAAGACATGTTGCTACAGTTACAACCTGGAACAATGCTAAGGGTCGTTGGGACGATGTTCATTCGAAATCTTGTTCCATTATCATTCGTCCAGGATTAATTGAAGTACATGAAGTGTCCTCCAGACATTCCTCCCCTGCAGTTCTTTCAACCATTCAAGAGTCCGTTGTAGATGGTTTGGAAGATAGAAGCTCGAACGAGGACAAGCGACCATTACTTGGTCAAGTACTTACACCTGTTGTTACACTCAGGCAAAGTAATTCACTCGATATTGAAATTCATTCTCCTCCAACAAGTGATTCTCGAGTTAAATGCAGCCCTACCATCCGTTATCACAGTCTACACAACCGTGCATGCGTTGATCTGTACAACTCAATTCACCAGGCTCGCATGAACAACCCAACATATAAGAAGCTAGAAGAAGAACGTCTACTCAATTCATATGGTGGCGCAACTTATGAAACTGCGGTTGCCAGCAAAAAACGAAGCTTCTTGAGCTTTGGACGAAAGAAGAGCTATCGTGCATCAACACGCGCACCATCCGTTGTCAACTCTGAGCAAAGTAGCTCTCCGTCTATTTCCCGTCTTTCCGAATCCTTCAAGAGATTAACAGGAAGTTCCTTTTTCAATATTGCAAAGTCTTCCATCGAATCAGGACGTGGATCTAGTCCATCAAGTCTATACACTAGTTCCTCCGGTCTTGCTCCCCCTCAGACACCCCATCCTGCAAGTTTGGCAGGTACTTCGACATCATATGGTGGTCTTAATCTTACCTCTGAGAATATTAAAATCCGCTTGTATTACCTAGAAACAAGATCCAAGTGGCAGGATTGCGGAAATGCAAGATTAACTGTTACAGCACCACCACCTGGTATGCGTCAAGCTTGTGCTGTAGACCAGGGTATTGAACGCCGTATCCTCGTTACTAGAAAACCTATGAAAGCTGAGGACCCAGATGAAAAGGTGGAGGTGCTGTTAGATGTTGTGCTAGGTGCAAATTGCTTTAGCATGATCGGCAATAAGGGAGTCACATGTAATGTGTGGGAGGATGTTGTGGGACCTAATGGCGAGGTAGGAATGGTAGGACCTATAGGAAGAGTGAGTGGAAGGACGAGGAAGTGGTGTCTGCAGGCGGGAAGTGTACCCGAGGCAAGCTGGATATATAGTTTGGTTGGTGTGGGGAGATGATGTTTGAGAGGGAGAGGGGAAGAGAGGTGCTATCATAGGTGCAACGGTCACCGATGATGGTTCCAAAAATGCCGCTTTTGATTCCTTTTTCTTTGTCAAGTCTTGGCATTTTGTTTTTGATTTTTTTCTTTATTGTAAGAGTGGTTAGGAAGGACGATATATCTGTCGGATAATTCTGTATGTATGTATGTATGTATGTATGTATATAGGGGGATGGAAAACGAAGTTGAGCGAGCGATGCATTAGAGGAGCTACATCCGGCGGTACACATATAAAGGGATGGAAAGGGTATGGATAGGCGGATGGAAGGAAGGATACCACTTGGAAATCGGGTCTCGGCGTTTATTGGATGAGATGAATGGCAATTTTTGGTATATTATTTGTGGTGGAGGGTTCTTGATACCTTTTTGGCTTCGACAGATGGGTGGGTGTAATCATGGAGCTGGGAGCAGGGGTGCTGAGGCAATCGGAATGTGGACGATGGAATAGGCGAATATGAAAGGGATTATAGGGAGATCAAGGCAAGCACACAACACAAACGACGCCACCATTGAATCGAAAAACGCATATACATTTTCTGCGGAAAGCCTCATCTCTACTGGAATCTTTGTTGGAATATACCTAAGGCTGTGACCTGGATCCAGAGGGCATACGAGGGTTTTGAGAGATTTCTTTTGGGGGAACGTATTGTGTTAGGTGGAGAGAAAAGGAAGAGGAGGAGGAGGAGGAGCAGATAGAAGTCAAAGGGAGGGGATGAGGTGATATTTAGAGGTGTATGAATGATAATGCAATAGATTATTTAATTGGATATTGTGCTTATTGTGAAGTGAAATAATTGTTTCTGAAATATAATTTGTATGAACTTTCAGAGCGTTTGGTGGTCTGGTCTTACTTGATCAATATAATATCGATATACATAAACAATACAACACATGAAAGCATTAAGTTAGTTACAATACTTTAAAGTGAATTTGATATGTATTTCCAATTTTTAGGGAATGTCTAGTTAGATTCGAGAATTGTAAAGCAACAGGGAATCCGAGAAAATTATTAATTACATAGATGGGTACATATAATTCAGAGATACCTAAACCCATCTACCTAATTCCATTCGATGCACATTTTGGAAGCTTCTGAGTGAGTATTGATTGGTTTGTAATTCAAACTTATTATAGGGGCTGAGATATGTCGATACACTCGTTTATTTATTCATCTTTTCGTGGGATCTCTTCTGTTGATCAACGCAGATCTGGAGGGACACTACGCGAGAGTATATCTATTTCGTCTCAGTTGTTGAGATCTGAAATGGCTGTCACAAAACACCTGGCAACTGGGTTATTGGCTATTGGTTGTTGGTTGTTGGATACCTAGGGAGGTAGACAAAAGAGGTAAATAAAAGTAGGTATACCATTCATCACCGTCAATTTCCATAAGGATAAAGAGAAGGATGGTGATGCCATTGGTATTCCTCGTGCACCCCCTCCTCCCCCCACTTCTTCACAACTTCAAAAATCATCTCATGTTCCAAAACGTTATGAGAAAAAAAAATCTACAGGAAAATCCCAATTATTTGTTTGTACAGTAGATCTCAGAAAGGACAAAAATAGAAGAATTGCGTTCGCCGGGAATCGAACCCGGGGCCCATCGAAGTTGTTTCACGCTCTTCTGATGAAGGAAGAGTTTGATGGCAACGATGGATTTTACCACTAAACCACAAACGCCGACACTTATGAATTAATCTTGGGAGTCTGTGAATATTTACAAATATAAAGTACATGTAGTGAGGTATATAGAGTAATGATGGCTCTAAAATACTGCGAAGATGGATGAGTGTGAACTTTGATGTGTACAAAATTTGTACGTTGTGGGGCGGTGGATCATCTAGTCTAGTGCAGTTTAGCGGTGAGGGGCGGATTATTTTATCTTTCAACTACGAGTAACTACCGGTATCTAATCAATAATAAACGAAAAAATATACGTTGAAATATACAGTCTGATCAAATTAAAAATATACGTGAGACTATATGATTATTTGATTATTATCACGCTTTTATACTCGAGCGATTACTATGTTATATTTCGAATAATATACAGCTAGGGCTAGATATTCATCGTTTAGATTCTAAAGGAGGGCCTTGCTTCAAATCTATACTACGCCGCAAATAATTGATGAAATCACCGCAGGAATACCTCTTAAAGCATACGCCACCAACTGTTTGATTTCTTTTTTGAAAATACTTCTAGTAAAGATGTCTTCTTTCATTCTCTTAACAGTTCTGCAGCCCACTAACAACAAGTTCTTTGAAAACCACAAGTCATTTTAAAACTAAATTGCTTGAACATTTGAACTTGCCTGTATCATGTTAAACGTAGGAATCGACGGTGTAGCTCTGGTAACAGGGGTAGGATCTGTCAAATCTGCAATCATCGATTGATTACTGACACAATTACTCATAGGGAGCAGCAGGCATCGGAGAAGAAACTGGCTTCGCATTCGCCGAAGCAGGTGCTTCAGGCGTTATCTTTGCCGACCTCAGCATTGAGGGGGCCAAAGAGAGCGCAGAAAAGAGTAAAGAATTCGCTACCAACCCTCAATACCGAACCTTGGCCTTGGAGGTAAACACCACCGAGCCAGAGAGTGTTCAGGCCATGGTTGATCTCACAATAGAGGAGTTTGGTCGAATTGATTACTTTGTCAATAGTGCTGGAGTAAGTGCATCAAAAACTGCGTTCGTGTGAATTTGCTGACCGATATTTGCATCTTGAAGGTTGGAGCCACGTCTCTCGCACCAACGTCCGATATCGATATTGACAACTTCGATAGAACGTTCGCTGTGAATGCTCGTGGAACAATGCTATGCCTTAGAGCTGTGACGGAAGCTATGACTGCACAAGAACCGAGAAAGGTCAAGGGCCGCCATGGGGATGAGCGTTCGCTGGGTCGGGGGTGCATCGTGAATCTTGGCTCTGGATTGTCATATGGTGCAGGTCCGGGAATGATGGCTTATGCTGCATCGAAACACGCAGTGATGGGAATTACTAAAGTAGCTGGTGAGTTCTCATATTGAGCTTCTTGAGTATAGCGACTGATGTCTTTGATAGCGCTGGACAACGCAAAGCACGAAATTCGTGTGAACGCGCTTTGCCCCTCATGGGTGAAAACCCCCATGTTAGAACGAAGTTTGGCTCGTTGGGCAGGACTTGAAAAAGTTATTCAAGCTGTCTCACCAGCAAAAAGAGCAGCAACGCCAGAAGAAGTAGCTAATGTTGCCGTCTTCCTTTGCAGCCCTTCGGCTACCTATGTCAATGGGACTGGCTTGTTGATTGATGCTGGAATGATGGTTACTGCGCACGCAACTTAAGAAACGCTTCGCTGCTGGTAATAAATTACATACGCTATCTGCGTATCAGAGTTAGAATAAGTACTCGTGACAATTAGAACGAACTCAGACTACTAGTGGGTACACGTACTTATGAGACATAACCATGCAAATGGAACTTTATGAAGAAAATATAGATTCCCAGAGAGTGAGATATTGATCAGGAGTCTTTTGTTGAGCTTGATGCTGTTTTGCGAAGCTTTGTTTTGTATACGTAGTTAATGATATCCAATATATATGTATGTTGAGAGTTACTGACATCGGGTTGATCGACTTCTTTTTGAAGAGCCCGCATAAAAATCGACTAATAGGCGTGTTACTTTGACGCATCTGTACTAATCTTTTCCATAATATATTGTTGGTTCTGATCAGCCGACATACATATAAAACCAGTACTAATACTCTACCAACTGAGCATGACTGTAGTGCATCAACTCCGAGAAATCACGAGCCTCGGTCTCGTTTTAGAATTTTGCTTAGAAAGATGCTTCGAAGTATCCGCGACGTATTCCATGGCTTCTAGCATGATACGTGCCGCACATCAGCATTTGTATGTTTCCATTAATCTTATCGCTACTAATTTCATGTTTCCGTATTTCTTGTTGATAACTCACTGCTTCCCACAGTTGGGACCCAGGCCTTTCTTCTCTCATTGGTCTCCCTGGATATCTGACCGCCAATGGCCTGGAATGTCCCACAGACGCTCGAGATGACTTCTTCCAGAAGGCATTTTCTACCCCTCCTGGATGCATTTTACCACTGGCAGGCTGAGCTTCCGCCTTGTCATGCCTTAAATGACTTCAATTTCTTATGATATGAGTCCGCGGCGATGATCCGGCAAGGCTCTCTCGGTTTCCTGTGAGAGAGACAATATAAGAGGGAATGCACCAGCCGGGCGAGGCTGCATTGATAGATTTGGGTAACTGTATGGGGCATGATGCGGTTGCATTCAAACACAGAATGAACATAGAGCTTGTTGGAAGTGTAAAAGCGGTGCTAGAGAATCTCCCAACTGTGTTAGATGATGTTGGACTTGTTTACTCCACAAGTTCTAATCAGTGAATTGGTCCGCGCCACTTTCGTGCTTCTCTATATGGCATGAATTCAATACCTGATTGGCTGGTTTCAGGGGCACGTATCTACTGACTTGATAGAAATTAGTGGAATGGGGCCAGGCTTATTTCCAATAAAATTTAACCAGATGATTTGAGACCACCAGTGGACCTGGGCAGTAATCCGTCCCTCTGTCTTATTAAATTTGTCCCCCGTTTCCGCCAATGTAAGGACTAGTTTGGATGTACAAATCCGTACTGAATTCATCGAATAATTCAAGCCCCGTGGGGTAGTCAAGGCCGAAGTGCTCCAACATGCCGATTTTGCGAGACAAATAAGGCCTTCCCTGACTTGACCTGCTGGGCCGGACAAGTGCATATGTACGGACACCATAGAAACAGCATGTATTTGATATCACCCACACTAGCTTTTTTTTTCATAATCTCCCTTATCCTCTGGGAGTTGGCTTTGTACAGTAGGCGACTCAATAGTTTGTAAATAATTCGGCCTATCGTCAGGAGAAAAATGTTCGCACCTGCAATGCAAATACCCACCCTAATATTATCTTACATCGAAGGGATGCGCATCCTACTCAACATATGCCCATGGCTGCCATCTGACTTATTCAATGTTACTTTCTTTCGTTCTTCTCTCCATAACTTTCGCTTGAAAATACAAGGCCCCAAAACTTTTGTCACGAAGCCAGAACGAATAAGACCGAAAACTCGACCAAGGCAGACCTACCGTAGGGAATGCACGACCCCGATCAATTCCCAGATGGCGGATTCACAGTTAGCTTTTTGGGTCGCTGGATGCTTTTGTTGTGCATTCTGTTCCTTTGGCTGAAGTTTAGATGATTGCAAATTTTGAGGGCAAATTTCGTAAGTTGTGGGGCGGTTGATCATTTAGTGTCTCTTAGTGGAGAGGCTGATATTTCAACCATTCGATCAACAACAAACAATGAACTACGAGTAGACATCAAAACAAAAGCCTCAACCTTCAAGCCTTTTCGATCAAAGGAAAGCTTCTAAATTCCAGAAATCACTACATCACATTCCGAACATATACAGCTGGGACCATCTATTTTCTAGATTCTGGAGCTTCACAAAATACATTTCTCCATGATAAGGTTACATTGAATGGGAAAACGCCGAGTATTGAGACTAGATGCTGCACCGAAACTTTCTGCCTTTCAAGAAAAGATTCTTGGAACCCCAAATATCCCCCCAAAGAGAAATCTCACGTGAAGTTCAGAGAATTTATTAAGGAGCTCTCTCACGGGGAGTCGAACCGGAAACGACTTAGCTAGTGGGAATCTTCGAATGCACAATTCTCTCGCAACGCGTGGCTGTCAGATATTCCTGCATAATTCATCCCCGAGATTGGCAATCTGATCAATCATCTCATCTGTGGTGACACTCATGTTATCGACGTATTTTTTAAAGATGATCCAAACCTTGAGGTACTTGTGGTTGCTCTCCTGAGTCGTGCCAATATTATCTTGGAAAACCTTAAGCATCCCGTCATATTCTTTGATTCTCTTGAACGACTGCCTGACTCTCCCCTTGTGCCTATCCTCAGTTCGGAGCAACTTGACCTGGACACAGTACAGCACAAGGGCAGCAAGTCCAGTGGCGAGCGCAGTAGCGACAGAGGAGCCGGTCTGGTATTCGACCTTCTTGTCCATGTCCTTTCTCTCCACATCGGTACCCGGAAATGTGAACCCTAAATCTGTAGGATCGCCAACAATAGGGCTGGCCATGCCTTTATCGGTAGCAGCTCCGATCCGAAATATGTTGCCCTTGGCTGCAGCCCAAGGAAAGCTTTCGTCCTCGACTGGCCCCCCATCACTGGCGGAACAAAACATAAGAATGTTCTCCCGGACAGCTTCAGAGATAGCTGCCCGGAGAATATCTTTGGTTGTACTGTCTTTTGGTTTTGGTATAGTCCAAGACATGGATATGATATGCACCTTCTTAGCCACTGCTTTACGAATGGCCTATGGAAATATTAGAGTTATTCCGGTCTAGAGACTTTTTGGTGACTTACTTGTGCGGCACTCAGAGCTGTAATACGACGTTGGCCATCGTACAGATGATCATCCAGCTTCAGCACATAAAGTTGGGCTCTTGGGCAGATCCGATATATTTGACTTGCCATAGCTGGTCCATGGCCGAAGCTAGATATATAATAAGGAACGACATTTTGGTTTCGAGTACAAAAGCTTTATCCCCCGTTATGCTTGTGCTGTAGTTTTGTAATGTCGATGCCGTCATCAATGAGTGCTACCCTGATGGGCTCCTCTAATACTACAGCAGACTTGTCGCGGTTAGCTTGCAGGAAGTTGTTTTCGGCTTCTAAAATAAGCGGTGCGAATTCATCCATGCATTCGATCCAATTGTGATGTGATGGTGGCAGAGGGTCTTTACTGGCTGTCATTGCGCCTGGGATTTTAATTTCACGCGGTTCCTTTGGTCCGTCTGTAAATATTTTGACCTTATCGCACAACGTTCTCATTCGTTCTTTGAATGAGTCGATATCAGATTTTGTACGATTGTAGGAATTCAAGTAATCCTGTTATTCTCAGTCAGCAGGAGTATACAAGGTATCCTCAGGGGCATAGAACTACCTGTTGTGTATGGATATACACGGCTTCTAAGTGCTTAAGCTGCTTAAGCCCGCCCTCTTCACCCCAACCTCGAAGCACAGCATTATTGCCGCTCCAGTAAAGATGTACATATCGTACATCTGGAGCTACAGTCTCTATGACACTGGTAGAAATATCTATTTTCTGCCAGTCCCATGTCTCGACACCAAACCCCTCCAGTGCTTTTTCAATGCTTTCGTCACTATGTGCTGGACTATCCAGATCTTTGACGCTGATACTCAGTATTGTTTTTACTTTCATTTTTTCTCGCAACCATCTGAATACGGATTCAAGATTGGAAAGTCCTTTACTTGAAGATTTCGATGGGGTAGTTGAGATTCGAGGCCTTCCATGATTGGCTGCAGTTTTGAGTTTCACAAGAGTGAAACTAGCAGGAACTGACACTCGCTGGAGGATGTCATCAAACTTCTGATTCTCGAAAAAACTCTCAAGCTGGTCGCTAGTGATTTCCGTTTTCTCATACACCCCAAGATCGAAAAATATTTGAACGTCTAATCGTCACAGAAAGCACTGGTTCAGAGCCTGAGGAGATTGCTAGAATTGAATCAAAGGAGATGACTAGAATTGAATCAAAGGAGATTGCTAGAATTGAATCAGAGGAATCCGAATAACTCGTGGTGCCAGGAAGTGACCACGAGCAAAGTGATTCTGATGAAAATGCTAATAGCAGCGAGTCGGAGGATGATAACTAGGCAGTGATTGTTTGTAAGCATATAAGTTACGCTTAAAGGTTAGGCTTGACGAGTACAATGATTAAAACTTTACTCCCATCTCCACATACATGCGAAATGATGGTGAACTTTGCTTGCCACAGGCCATTCAAAAAGTACACACCGACCTACCTACCCGCTGCTTACATATGCAAATATGGACTGACACGGGAGTAGGAATTCCTCATATCATAATCAGAATATTGTGGAATAGACAGCACACATTAATATTCAGAATCATCAGAATAAGAGAGAAAACCCCCTATTTCGTTTTGTCCACCCTTACAGGCGAGTAAAAGTAAGATGCAGAGAAGAACGTCCAAGCATACACAGTGAAATTTAATATAACCCGTCCCGACTATCCCATATCACGATAAACTAGATAAGACCAAGAAAAAAAAAACAGAGGGCGGTTGGGATTGTGGAAGGAAAATGCCCATCGCGAGACATCATTGAGATCCAGTACCTTCCTTAGTTCGTAAACCTTCCCCCTGTAACTCACCATAAGCCATCCCCTTTATTGACCATTGTATAATACAGAACTGTGGCTCAATTTTGATCAAAATATGTTTCCCATACAAAAATTGCACAATACACAGAATTTCGAAGATTTTTTCTATATATCAAGACAGCTAAGTTAAATCCTCTGTTTCCCTTTTCACTTCTCCGTTCTTTCTATTCATCAACAGTTTATATGCAGTATAATTCTAAACTTTAGACTATCACTCTCCCATAACCATACTAGATTGTGATAAAGTGATAATGATTCCTTATATCTTTGATCAATCCTTAAATGGCCACGCCCACCAGTTCTGCATCCTAGAGTCTATATATAAGTTATGTGAGAGATAGAAGCATACTATGAGCTTGTAATATTCATATGCATCGTCGCAAGTGCAACCTACCTTCATTTTTTTCTGTCATACAGCTGTCTGTTTAGTTTTCACTACTGTTAAATAAGCATAGTCCAGTACGATGACTGCTTTGGTCTTCATGAAATGGGTTCATTTGTTTATTGAATATATTTTGTGTTTATTGGCGGAGGCTTGTCACCATTTGTGTCTCCCTCGTCGGTTAATGAGTTCGAGGAGGAGCACGCATGAGGTCATCAGGGAAGAAGGGCGAAAGGGAAAGAGAATTTTTTGTGGTTATGTAGCACACAAGTCATGAGGATCAAAACAAGATACTGTATAAGGTGAAGCATGTAGGTGTATCATTCCATCATGTATAATCATCTTCGTAGAAGCAACGGTAGAGCAAGTTATCTAGATACATTCCTAAAAAAAAGTACAATATCGAGCCAAGCCATGAATAATGGGCTAGCAAGCACAATGTCAAGACTCAGGAAACAAGTGACCATAATCCCGTCGACATGTAATTGACTCCGAAAACCCCATTCCATCCGGAAATAGACTAAAGGAGAACAAATGAAACCGCCATATAGCCGAAGAACTACTTTGAAAATAGGTAGGATGAGCTAAAAGAAACCCATCAAACAACCAACAGTTGACAAATTAGTTCTAAAAACCAAGCAAAGAAATACCAAAACACCCGCTTGAGAGTCAAGTCACAACCAACTATACATCATCATCAACCTCATCAACAGCAACAGCAACAGCAACAGGCTTCTTTCGCTTTCTGTCCTTCTTTGGAACCTGAACACTAGTAGCCAAAGACTTCGAGCGTTTCAAAATCGATCGTTCGTCAAAGTCATAAAACTCTCGTCCATTTCGATTCCAATTAGATTTGCAACCACCAGGTGCTCGATGAATGCCATGGGTAGAAGCAAGTTCTTCCGAGATATGCTTCCAGAGAGGAGCATCATAGAGCTTAATAATATCGGGGCGCTTAGCTTCGATTTCTCGACGTTTGACAAGACATTCGTAGAGCTTGAATGTTTCGTCATCAGTCCAGGCGGAGCGACGGGGTTTACTGGAGGGACGACTTCTGCGAGAAGATTGAGGTGTTTTGCGAGGTTTGGAGGATGCTTTGCGTGAACTTGATGAAGGGGAGGAGCCAGATGCAGTGACTGAGGTAGACGAAGAAGCTGGTGTATGAAGAGAGGATTTGGTGTTAGACTTCGTGCGCTTCTTAGTCGGCCGACGAGGAGACTTGATATAACATTCATCATCATGAGACTCGTCAGCATCGTGTTCTCGCTTTCTATTAAGGGAAGATGGACACGAAGTAGTATCTGGTGATGCGGGCAAGATGTGTTTTCCACTGGGTGATTGACCTGGACATAAGATAGATTTTCCACCAGAGTAGTTTACTGGTGCAGTTGTCTTTTGCTGAGAAGATGGTGGTGTAAGTTGATTGTTGGTACCAGAAGATTCGCCGTTATACTTCTGTGATGAGTGCTCTTTCAGAGAGGCTTCGATGGTAAGGGCGAGCTGTTGGTCGTAGGTTAGTCTATAGAAGTTGGTAAGTGACTTCTCGAAATAATCTTCATCGTCTAAATCATCGATATCGGAAATATTGGAGGTGCCTCTAACAAAGTCCTCTGGCTCGGATTGGTATTCAGAGTAGTCGGCATCTGAAGACTCGTACTCAAGCTGAATGAGAAGTTGATCGGTAACAGGAGATTCTTGCTGAGAAGCTTCCAGCTCGGCAGCCTCTCCAAAGGATTGTTCTTCGATAGGCACTTCGTCAAATTTTGCAAGTCGAGCATTGAGCGCTTGCTCTACAAGGACTTGGGGGTGTATTGCTGCATAAGCAAAGGGCTTAGGAAATGGGTGCACACTCTTGCCTTTACCTCCAGTCGCAGGGGCTGGTGTCTCGTATGCAGCAGCATCTTCGTCATTTGGATTGATATGAAGACGATATGCGTGATGGAGATCTTGGCAGATTCGATGTTGTGTTAGCTCCGGATCAATTAAAGCTTCGTTAACTAAACCATCAGCTGTGCAACCAAATTGGCTGAGATTATCGTTTAACCACTGCACTCCGCCTTCCTGAATATAAAAGAAGGATGCTATGACAGACAGAGCTTTTTTTGCAGAGTCCTCGTCCATATTCGCGAAGGAAAATTCGGTAGGCTTGGTAAACATCATGGTGAAAGGATAGGCATGGATTACAATCGAGAGCTGCGAAATTTAGAAGTTGGTATGTTCGAAATGTACGTTTGAACGGTCACAGGAAGAAGCTATCCAAAAATACAAAAAGAGAAGGATATAGGTAAAGCCATATCAAGTACACCGTGAATTCGAAGCTATCTTCAGACAATAGAAGGTCTATTGAATCTATTGTTCCCAGTGACATGCTCAACAAGGTGTTCGCCATGATCGTAGCGAGAGAAACAACAATAGGAAAAATTGAATTGCGCCGAAAACTCTGCAATTATGACAGAATTTTCTCGCTACTGATTATTGTATTCAAGAGTGAATTACCTTTCAAGTACAATGGGAAATTTTTGCCGGAAGATGCGAGTTGAGCAGACACAATGGAACAATGAAGACTTGGGAGATAGATTCACTGGTATTGTATTGATTTCGGTCCGAAGGTGAAGGATAAACTGGAAGGTCAATGAAGAATTGTGCCTTTGAGAGACATGAAGAAGGTGAAAGTCGGAGGGACCGCATCGCATCATTATAATAAAGTGTAATATTGATGCAACACCTGTCTAGGATCATTAATAGAATAGTAGTGAGGATGACGATGTACTAGAAGGAAGTTGTAGATCAAAAAGACATGGTATGTCGAAAGAGGATATTACGTTGGAACGAGGTGGTATATACAGGTATTAAAAGGATAGAAGGAAAGGAGAGGTAATGCCAAAAAGGAACCTGAATACTCAGAACTCAACATACTATGTAGAAGCGTATAATTCATTTGTAAAGTTATCAGGTCCTCGAGAATGAACGATGGAGGAGCTCGAGAAGGGAAGAGGCCGGAGTGATCACGTGTCAAACATCCACGTGATTACACCCACTTTCGACTTTCACATGATGCTCGGAAAGACCAGACAGCATCCACGTAAACCAAAGCAAATACATCAAGAAAAGTTATAAAGATGCCTGTGACTATCAAAGCAAATATCAAAGAAAAGATAATTCATACAAAACCACTCAATCAAGATGATTTTGCAACTTTTGGGACTGTGATTCAAAACCCCGCACCAGCGGTGATCCCATCATCAACAATCAAAACCTTACCACCAAATGCGGTACAAGCCAACCAAGGTACCGCGCTCAAATACCTAGATGTCACGCATATGAAGGATTACTACGGGAGCGCTCCTAGTGAACGGGTCGCGAATGCAGTCATGAACATGTTTGTATGCGCACCTCGCTCGCTTCTCCCGTCTCACGATAGCAATATCGGGGGGTTATTTCCGGTCACCATACTGGAAAGACATCCTTTCACGACTCAAACATTCATACCTCTCGGGATATCACCCTCGGAGCAAGAAGATGTATGTTACTTGGTTGTCGTAGCACCGAGTTTAACGCCGTCATCAGTCGATGAAACCTTACCTGTCCCCGTTCTCTCCCCTCAAACAAGCACGAGTGATGATAATGTTGAGAACCTGCCCGGTCGCGGTTTACCGGACCTGAATAGAATTCAGGCTTTCTTAGCGAATGGTTCACAGGCGGTCACCTATGGAGCGGGGACCTGGCATGCTCCGATGGTGGTCGTGGGGAAGAAGCCCATTGATTTCGTCGTGGTGCAATTTGCAAATGGGGAAGGAATTGAAGATTGTCAAGAGGCAGAGCTGGAGACAACGGATAAGGATATATGCGTGGCAGTCCCTAAGCTGTCAAGGAATGCGACGTGGAAATTATGAGTGCTTTCGGGTCTAGATCTCGATTTAGAATGAACGGGTACTGCAAAATGATATTCTTGTTTGCAATAATTACAAATGAGATCTCCAACAAGTATCTACGCCTTATGAATTTTACTACCAGTCCCATTCCTTGCAATCCCGTGGTAGTAAAGACGTTGATGCACATCATCTCCATTACCTTGGTAACTATTGATCGTTATTGCTTTGGATTCAGGATAAAGTAGCACCAACGTCGATGGAAGTTCACGTATCTTTGGTACTTAATGTAGGTCGGCGACCTAGACTGTCGACCACGATATGTACCTATAGAGGTCCCCGATACTTTCTGCAATGGAAGACTACAAAATTTTACATGTACATAAGAACTATGAGGATAAATATAAGGCCGTCCCAATATGGGTAGCTCCCCCAGATCTCGATGATTCTAATTGACAATGGATTCCGAAATGATACTCTCAGATGAAATCCGAATCTTTGGAGTCACAAAGTAGCGTTGCAATGCAGAAATACTAAAAATCCGAGCGACAACATTATCGATATTGACCGCTGGAAATATCGAGTGGTAGAGAACGAAGGGGAATGTGCACTAATCATCGCAAAATTCACTCGTAAATTCTACCAATAAGTGATACATGTCTAAAGGTACCCCAGTATCTTTTAGGCATACGAATACCGTACAGTGTTGTCTTGAATCGCAAATAATCTGTCTACCGTTTTAAACGCCAAAATAATAATGTCGGCGATGTCTTTAAAAATTGGGGGGGGGGGAAACGTGAGAAGATTGTCCCGTCCAGCCACTCGCCTTTTTGGGGATAGAGGCTAGAGCGGCTCATCAGGTGTGTATACATCGAGTAGGATTGTCGGCTTTCCACCTCGTGGTATATTGCTGATACTCCAAAGAAAAAGCAACATTTCCTGAACCCGTTATGCTTGCTTACCACCTACCAAGTTGTAGATTGGCGAGACCTCTTGTCCAAAAGATTTCTGCAGATCCTTTCCGCCTTACCGGTTTAGTTTGGCTCTTCTAGGCCTTTTTGAGGGTTTCATTACTACTGTACTTGATCGCATGCTTACCTGTGGGTAATGAAGCAGATGAAGAGATAGCCAATGAATATAGAAGGCAACGGTCGGAACTGTACATGGCAGCGCAAACTTGCAGACGGGTATGCAACTCGATGTACGCAGAATAACATGATCAGCATTGGACAAACAATGTGCACACGCACACCTTCAGCCACATCTTCCACACCGGTTCTTAAATGGATAGTATCTCGCATGAAGCATGAACAATGCTGCAGTATTGTTTCCAGGGCGAAGGTGATCTACACGAATCGGATTTGCCAATTGTCATGAGCTGAATGGATACCCCATAACGCAGGAAGCAACGAGCAACGAAAGCATTGCTATCAAAGTTATTCTTGAACTGTCAATTCTCTCACCTGGATTCGATTCTTAGTCATGGTGATCAGGGAAATTCATACATCGTAGCCTCATCTGCTTTCTCGCCTTTTTACGCAGCGCCTCATTCAAGAAATCGCCAAAATTAACCTAAAAGGGTAAGGTGCTAGGGCAAGGGTTCCTGTGGTTGGACAAGGGGGAAGAGCCGTTTCTAGGTCAAGGCTTAGAACCATAGAAATCCCATACCAATTACCAAACATTCTCAACAACCATGATAATCCGTATCAAGGATGCATAACCCCAGCTATAAGATCTTGGTACTCATTTTCCATCTTGCTCTAAACGGAGGAAAAGTTTGCGAAGATGGGTACATATCTGATATCCGTCATTCAAAGTGTAACACTGAGAATGAAGATCCCTTTAAATCACCTTCAGGGTGCCCTGTCGAAGACGAGACTTTCGATCTGAAGATCAATAAACTGCCCCCGTTATCCCCATTTATATCTCAACCTCAATTTATTTACGGAGATCCCGTGTTTATCATCCCCATATATAAACAGATCGGACTGAGCAGTGGGCGTGCCCGTGATGGTTTGGCGTAGGGCGCTTGAAATTTCTGTCCGATACCGACATTTCAAGGCTATGATGTTTTTATTCCAAGGTTCTAATTTAGGAACAGCAGTCGGTACATCAGTTTCAGATTTTGAATTGATTGAGCTTACTGGAGATAGAGTTGTTACTTGTCAGAGATAGATTGTAGGGGAAGAAGTGCTTCAAGGTTAAGATCAGGGAATATCTCTAAGCCTGGAACGCTCCAAAATCTTCTCCATACATCAGCCTCACTTACTATGATACTACATAATACCACCACTTACCATCTCGAGCCTCAATAACTTCTACACCCCCTCGTACATGCGCCGACGGATAGAGCTGTGAAAGGATCCCGTCACAGGGGTAACCATTGCCATGGGATCCCCCATCTCTCGCATATCTGTCTCAAGGATGATTATTACCAAAAATAGCTTTCCAACGGATTTTTGCTTTTTCTCGGGCTTCCATTTCCATTCCTTCGACGGGTATCATACCGACGCTCATATCCGTGTATCTGGGACCATTGCTGAGAGGCAAAAAAAGAATTATACAAATCTCACATGCATCCTTGAACAATATATATATCAAGGGTTCATTAATTGTGGTGCCTAAATATCTATCCTGAAAGCGCATTTCTGAAACTTTTCTACAGTTGATGCTCCTTACATTGATATGATATCAGGGATACGTGAGCTGGAGAAATAAGAAGCGTGAACTCGAATACCCCATCTTGAATACCCAAGATCAATAATAGGATCTACATATAGATGGGTACGTAGATGATAATTGGAAAGGCCCTGATCGACCAACTGACCCAGCAAAAGTACACATCCGTGAATCGAGACTCCTATCCGTGTAAGGTAATTCGTCGCTCTTCACACAGGCTGGGGCATGACGAGGGGGAAAAACAATCCGAATGTAACTCTTTTCTACCTGCCCATGTTCTGAACTCCCATATGACATCCATTATATAGAGCCTATCCAACTTTATGCCTAGTAACGATGCACCACTACGCCATCTGTTTCGGTGCCGACGTGCAAATATCTGTCCAAAACTTTATCTGTAAACTATAAGTTATAGCCTATAACGTAGTGACATTAGCCCTCCAGTATCCTTCACATACAAGTTCAACCCAGCTTAACCTTTGACAGCTGGCAAGCTATTCGCCCTAGCTTATCTAATTCAATACACTAGCGAACGTTTTCTCATCAAATATCTGGTTGAGCTAGGAAGCATTCATTCGCTCGCTCGTGTTCGTTCAGACATGGATCAAGGCACTTCCATCTCCTTCTTCCAACTTTCAGCCACTAAGCTTGGACAATGCAATAACAACTTGGAAGCAAGAAAATTATTCCAAATACATGGTGCAAAACGGAACAACCCCACAAGCGCAGCGACGCAAAACTAGGTAGCCAAGCGAAAGCAAGTGCCCGTAGATCATGGCGTAGGCCCGGAGCAAAGCGATGGTGATTGGATTGCTTGTGCGAGTAGTTCCTTTTTAAGTCCTAGGAGGCGGCAATTGAGGAGCTGGCCGAGGATTTTCCGTAAACGGTTGAGCAGTTGGACTACCTATGTACCTAGCATATAATATATACAATATAAGGAAGTCGTTTATACGAAATCAGCATTTTTTATTCGGACACTGTGAGCAAAATCCAATTCGCCTCGCTCATCACTGGTTATCTTGGCTTTCGCTACCAAGTATTGAAATATTAATTGGAGATTTCGTTTGCTTTTTCCAGTTTGAACCCTATCCCCGTTCCCATCTCCGTTTCTTCAACGGCTGAATTTCGATCATCGGGACAAGCTAACAGGAACCACTCAAGACAAAAAAGCAAACAAAAACATACTTCAATTCCCTGCACCTGAAACTTCACTCACCGATTCATCTATCTCTTGCATGCTCTACAATAGCCACAAGATTTTACACAAGGTGAGTAATCATCAGCGGGAATCTTTCCGTGGAATTCCCATTCGGTGTGATGTGCATCATGTTCGTTCACTTCCTTGCTTTTGCTGGGTAATAACACAACCCTGCTTCCATTGTGTCCAAATATTGGATTCGGATTCTGCAATAGTACTGGTACATATGATTGATATGAGCCCGGGTATGAAATACTGTTATGTTAATTCAGCCGATCATCATCATAGCAGCAAGCATCGTCTCAGAAAGCCCAGCATCTAAATGACAATATCGATCCATAGCAATACTACCTTATCCATCACGAATGTCCATTTTGCAACCCCGGCGGATGGTACCGTACTCTGCCGCTCTCTGTTGTTGAACCACTGTCATCACCATTGAAGTCCCATTATCGTTGTTCCAGATCTCCTGGGACATTGGGGGATCGGCTTGTATGGCTACAGGTGACAAAATATTGAATTGATTTGCTTTCCTTGAATACCGGTAGGAAGGAACAAGAAACATGACCCCCTGAAATCCCGAGAAATTACTTAACCTCACGACGATAAACGTGCCGCTTCTGTTGTACCCTCTTGAATCACCGCATTGTACAACATTAATATCGACAAAATCTCTCTGCACGTCGTGACTGCAGCAATCCCAATGACGGATATTACAACAACATTGAAGAGCCCATATGAAACATAACAATTCCGCACACAGCAGGATGAAGAGTAGCACAGCATAAAACACGAGTCACGACGTTAATAGTGCCTGCATCGTATGGCCCCTGTCAGCGCCAAGTGTTGCCAGGGGGATATCGGCGACCATATGCTACTTACCTAAACGGAATTGGGTGGTGATTTGCAGATTTGGGGAGACCCGATGGGTTGGATCAAACGTTATGGTTCTGACGAGTAGGATCACGACTTTAAAGCTTTGATACTGTGTGACATTGCGATGAAGGGGGTGATGTGATGACACTGGCAGGGTGAGAAAAGTGGTTTCCCCGGAGGAGATTTATTGATATTGGGTTGCGATGGAGACTTCCTGGAGAGTCGGAATGGCAGATCTACAAAATCGTGAATTACCGTAGTGCTGGAAAATGATCGTTGATGAGATCTATTAGCTGCTGCTGATCATTGATCTTTTGTCTAAGATCACCAGTTGGGGCTGGGGCGGGTCTATTGTACCGACATTCAGCACTCATGGAATAATCTCTCCTTCCTTGCACACGGTATTCGAAGTGCCGGTTGTTTACTGCATCGTCCAAAGCTCTTAGCAATTTCAGCTGGGTCTACCTGGGTAGACACTCAAGAGTCAATCACATTTAACCCCCGAAGTAAACAAAATTCATTTCGTTAGAATACATGTTCAATGAGTGAACCAAATCCCATCAAACACCTTGTAAACCGTTATTTATCCACCCTTACCTCACCGTGTTCACGGCAGGTATTAGTACAACTTTCCAGCCCGTGAACCTTACTGCTGGATCCGGATAGGTGCAGCGAATACAGAAGAAGATATATGTACGTCTGGCTCTATCTTGTACGCCGGCATGCAACAGCCAAGGGAGGAAGGTAAGGTTCCTCGGTATGATCGGTAAGGGTTCTGGTTGATCTCTGTCGCAAGCCTTACTTGATCAGATTATTTTGTGGGTGACATCAAGACTTCTTGGGTGGAGATAGGTACTCAGAGTCAATAGTTTTGAAGGGGTGTAGAAAGCTTCTTTTGTACGTACGGACGTACCAAGGTACGTACTTGATGTATAGTAATCAAAAAAATGCTAAATGGAGGAGGGAGGGTATTTGAGATGAAAGCTTGAGCATTCGGGGAAGTTAAAATTTACGAATCTGGACCACAAATGATCACATTGTATGTATCCAATTCAGCTAGCTTGACAACTGAAAGACAAAGATAAAGAGTAATATATTAAATTGCATCCTTAGTTGGGCAAATCATATAATTATTTCGAATTTTGAATATCGTGTTGAGAGATTCACACTCTCGGGACTCGGGCGGGAGCGAAAGCGATCTGCAGTGCGGCGTGCCTCCGTAGCAGTTATTTTCCTAGCTCGCCCAGCCGTATATCGATGTTCCACAAAGCAATGCAAATATCGTTTTGTCCCAAATAAAATAATGTGTAAATCATTATCCTTGGAGTTGGAGTGGAACGGAATATCATCTATTCTTCATGGTGCTCATACATATTATATGACATTGTGAACCTGGGAATCCCGACAGATAAACCAGAATCCCGGTCGAAAGCTGTGCCATCCATATCCATATATCTATCCCGGCGAACTGGCCGTGGCTGAGAGAAACGGAGAAAGAGAGGGATATTTGGGCCCGTGTTTTATCAGGTGAGGCATGAGGCATGGAATTCCTCCGATATGAGAGAAATTGACATGATAAATGATATCAGGCCAATAGAATCGAGTATGATGCGCATAAACCATTGCTCGCATTTCTCTATGTTTCTGCCTACACAAATCAATAATCCAATAATCCCATATGATGGCGTTTTTGTTGACAGGTACAGAAATAGCATGTGCATTGGGGTCCTCAGCAGCCTACACGTTCAGGCGTAAAGTCATGGCATTAAGACGCCCCTAAAGCCTCGCGAACAAAAAGCATAACAGTGATCTCCCAGAGCTTACTGTACTTGCCGTACCGACTGAATGGGCGGCGTGATGTGATGTGATGTGATGCGCTGCGCTGTGAGATCCCATCCCATCCCATCATATCGCACCGTTTATTTCCGTCTTGAACTTAGTCCGTCCCAACAACACAACCCGCACCTGAGCACATGGCCGCACAAACACAAGCTGGAAAAGGGGAATTCCAGCGGAAGCAAGCGAAGGCATTGGACACAACCGAAGGATATTAAAAAAAGGCACAAGGCGGATGTGATGGGACAAAGGGAGCGGTTCGGGATTAGGTGTTGTGCCATGATAAATGAATGGGAGAGTGAATGCAGAGAGTGTGTTACAAAAGGAGAATGTCTACATGTACTGACTGATGAATGACCCAAGAGCAGAGGAAGACCGACCCAGGAAGGACATGCTAATGACATGGAATATAAGGCAATGGAACCAGGTACCCACGCCTGCGAACAACAAGACAAAGGTTTGAACTAAAGGATATGCATATTTTAAAGTGCAATCTCTCGGGTTTCGAGAATGGAATTGGGAGGTGCGTATGAAGTTATCATTGGCCGAGGGGAATTATGAATAGCCTCGGAAAGGGATTAATGCGGACAAGTCCCAGAACGATGGGGGAAATATTGAAGTGATTAGAACATTCCAATTGCATGTTTTTTTTTTGGATAGTTACCAAGTAGATGAGATGAGATACCGGTAGCCACATGGCCAAATGACAACGGAAAATTCTAGAGGATGGGATTCATGATATTCTCGTTCTTTATTTCCGAACTGACATTAGTTCGAATAGCTGGAGCTTTCATCCCTCCCACGATTCCCATCTCATCAAATTAAAGTTGGTCCACACCTTTTGCTGGGCACAGTGGAGTGAGTTTTGGTTGTTAATTGATCTACGACGGGGCTTTTTTTTTCATTTACTGCAGCGGTCGCTCGCTCGCTCGCCCTTTTCTTTATGTCCACTATCCACTGTCCACATATGAGCCACTTCATGATCTCTTTAGAGTCTCCATCTATCGTGAAGCGATGGCTAGTGGCAGAAAGGAGGAAAGGCCACAATTCCATCATTGATGAAGGGGCTAAACTCGCTTTCGTTTCGCAGCACCGACCACCTTACCATTCTCCAATTCCAATAATGACCTAATATGAACAAACGCTTAATTCAACTAACTCCACTCTCTTACTTCAAATAGATACAAATATACATAGCACATGACCATCATTGCCCTTCATTGGCTTTCATTGGCTTTCATTGGTATGAACAAAAGTTAAAGATGATGTACCTTGGTACTATTCATCAAACCTGGTTATAATCTTCCGTTGTTATTATTATTATTATTTTTCAGCTGACTTCGGAATGGTTCCACAACCCCAAAGCGTTTTACCTTTTGAATCACGATTTCAGATTTCAGGAAGAAAGAAAGAAAGAAAAATGCGTGCTGTGTATGCTTGGTAACTTGATATAGACATTCGTCACTTTTTACGAACAGTTGCATCGCATTGACGCCATCTCTCAGCCAAAAGGACCCGGAAAGGTCTATTATGGTATCAACTATACCGCACAAATCTCAAAAAGTGCAATTTGCATTATTGAGATGAATGTCAATTGGTGCAAAGTGTCAGATTTGTTTGTAGGCAGATAGATAGAGAATTATCAGATGGCATGGCAGGGCATGGCATGGCATGGTGAATCATGCGATAGGTGCGATAGAAATAGCTGATATCGGATTTCAAAAGAAAATAGTAACATTTGCGAGAAGAATAGCTCGAGGGATTTGATCTAGAAATTTCAATGTATTCCTTCCCTTCACAATTTCCTCTTTTGGATGACGCCCAGGCCTCGAATTGCTCAATGAGTTGGGAAGTTGGGAGAAAAAGTGGCAAGATACCCAATTTGTATGAAAAGGATCTCCCGGCGAGCGTATGGTAAGTGCTTTTGTGTTTTCTCCATCCATTTTTGCTTCCCCCTTCATCGCCATATTCGCCATATTCGCCATATTCGCCAAACCTCGAATGCCTCCGCTCCTCCACTCTCGTCAACATTTTGCTGCGATGGGGTGTGTGTTCTTCTTGGGTACGGACTGTACGGTATTCTATTTGATGTTACACCGAAGTCCAAACCCAAGTACCTGAGAAAGATCCTAGCTTCTAAGTTCTAACGACACATTTCGCGGGTAACTCCCTTGGTGGAAGACTAAGATCCCGTCCAGACTCCAGAGCTCGCACTAGCCCAGTATGATGTTACTCAACTAGAATAAGCTAGGCAATAAATTCCAAATCAACTTCCCCATTTTGCTTTTTCACTCCCTTTCGTAGTTTCGCTCTTCGGTGTTTTAATCATCTAATTAGTTTGTACGGATTTCTTTGATTTATTTTGCTGCATAGGATAATGGATGGATTTATTTCCATTTGCAGCTTGGTGCCATTCGCACGTCAATGATGTTCTAGGTATAACACTCCTCGCATCTTATTTGAATCTTAGGTACGTTGCCAGCTATGTTACTAATGTAGCAGTGTAGCACATCCTGGGTTCAGAAGCCATCTTATTTACATATTCGATGTGTAAACATGGAAGACATGGATGCTTACGGTCAAGATGGGGCAAAAGAAGAGTTGAACAACCCGAAAGATTGGGTATTGTGCAGAAGCCTTCCCGCAACGCCAACGAGGATCATTCATCATCAATATATGATGTTACTCCTTCAAGAACCCGAGTTGGCTTAGTTTGGTAGTAAGATATGTCTCAAAGCATCAGAAACCCCCCAAAAAGTATTCTTCTAAGCTTTCCAAAAACTTCCTAGGTTCTAATCTATCCCTAGGTTTCCCAAGAGCAAGAGCGGGACGAAACGAATCTTTCAAGGTTTGCACAAACCATCCACTCACTACATTTCTATACGTCTTAAGTCTTCATCTTCCATTTCAACCACCCCTACCACAAAATTCAAAACCCGCCCACCCATACCTAGACCATCGCACAACATCCACTGACCACACATCAATCACGTCCCCGCTACCCAAACAATCCACCCCGGGCCCAATACCAATACCCATACACCCACACCATACACTTGGACTAAAAACACCATTTACCATCATCCCTACTTTCCATTCTCATCCCAGAAAAAGTCCCAAAAAATCTACCCCTACCCTGAGTTTATCCGATCGAAACTGTACAGGATCCGTGCTACCCATACCAAAACACGCATCACCCCTCCCCAGAAGCATCCTCACTACCCCCCTGTTAAGACCTTGATCGTTGTCGCGCCCGCCAATAAAATGTTTTCGTAAGAATCCCTACGTCCCTGGCTTACCTGGAAATCAATGTATATCATTGTCATACTTCCCATCGCCGACTATACTTTACAAGACATAAGCCCCATCCTCAACCCGATATTGTCTTTCCTATTTCAACACCTTCATACCAATCCATCGGTTTCCTGTTCTCAAATATAACTCCAGTCCATCCATCTTCAATATCATCGATAACTAGCATTTGCTTTCATCTCTTTTGAAAGAAAAATTCCTATCTACGCGACTCGGTCCCCCATCAGAGCGTTGCGTTTCGAATCATTAAAATCTTGACCACACAGACTCTCTTGGCTCAAGCTTTTTCCCTACTTTCCGCTTCAACTGAAAGGGTCACCCTTCATCCAAAGAAAATCGTATTTTCTCATCGCCACTGCCGCCATCACAAGTCTAGATCAAGAGACGAGATTGAAGCATCCCAAGACCAGAGACCACCACAATATCTAGCGTCATCTCCACTTGTAACATCTTCCTTGAGACTCACAGGACCAAGTGCAGCACCGAGCGACGATTCTATAATAAGGGTAGTCGCGGAAACTTTCAGTCGTTGAGCAGCCGTTAGTTCGTGTCCCAGGCTCAGGTACACAACCAAAACACATACCTTGATCCCTCGTGTTTTTGAAAAACATCCACTTGCTAGTCCGCGGCCCAACCGTGCACTTGAGCTCTTCGACACCTTTTCGAGACCTTGACCGCTCTTGTGGCATCTTTTCACGAACTTCCGATTCCATCTTAGGGCCGTTGACCGATTAGGAGCTTCCTATATCCCAACGTCTTTGCCCATCAACCTAACGACTGATCATCATCACCTTCATTTTGATTTTGATTTTCTGTCTTTATCTTCAACTTTTATCATTCAGCATCTAGTATTCTTCAAAATGTCATCATCTCATAGACGTGGGCCTTGGTCGCCAGCTGAAGATTCGTACTTGGTACAACTTGTTCACACACAAGGAGCTTTGAACTGGGTGAGAATTGCACAACTCATCGGTTCAAGGTCGCCAAAGCAATGTCGAGAACGTTATCACCAAAACCTCAAGCCAACTTTGAACCACGACCCAATCAGTCCTGAAGAAGGACTTCAAATCGAAAGATTGGTAGGAGAGATGGGCAAGAGATGGGCCGAAATCGCTCGAAGGCTTCAAGGACGAAGTGACAACGCCGTAAAGAACTGGTGGAATGGAAGCATGAACCGAAGACGTCGTTTGGTTCTTCGTAGAAGGACTTCATCTCACTCACATTCCTTCAACGAGCAATCTGAAACCCTATCATTTGCACGACCAGTTCACTCCCATTCTCACACCACATCTCGCCACATTGACACCTTTTCATCTCGAAGAATACATACTTCTCTTCCTTCACCATCAGTATCCGAAGCATCCCGAGCAGAATCACTCGATGGTGCTCCCTCCTTAATCTCAGACACCTGCTCAAACTTCTCCATCTCTCCCAGAGTAGCATCCTCACCCTCCCTCGAACTTCCACCTCTCTCATCATTCGACCGTATCAACTCTCGAAGACCGTCTCTCCCACAACTTCAAATTAGACCTAACACCTCACCATACGCATCAGAGTTTGAATCACAATCATTATGTCATCCATCATTAGAAAGAGAATCATATTACACTCACGCACATTTCAACTCGATAAAATCTTCTCATCACAGCAGAGGCCCGAGCGTTGCGAGTATATCCGTGAATTACCCACACCGTCGCTCAGAGCAACAATACCCTAGTACCCTACCTCCATCTCCACCTCGCGACTCACATCATCAACGCGAGTATTATATCTCAGGGCGTGCACAGCAACAAGAAACTCCAAGAGGAGCTCAACAGCCATTGACTGCGCCACCAAGTCCTCAACATATTCAGTTGGCCCCTATCCGATCGATCAGTCCTGGGAATACTTATTCTCGGGAGGCAAAGGAGAGGGACACGAGGATGCAACTTACGAACCTTTTACTATGATCGAGTAAAGTTGGATGGGTTTAGAAGATAAATATTTCTTTTATGTATATCAAAAGTTACTTAGGGAAGGACGGAACTCTAAAAGAATCACAGCATCATTTCATGTACGCAAGCAAGCGAACGCATTTCTTACGTGTCTAATGCCTATGACCGGCTGTATATCTTTGTTTTTATAGTATAGTTATTGTTTTACTCTACTGTCTACAGTATGGATTGGGAGGCTGCCGTCATTTTTATGCATTTGTAGATACCCTGGATTGAATGGACGATGAATGGATGATGGATAGGATAGGATAAGATAGCATCAGATAGTCATAAACAAACAAACAAATAATATAAATAATCAAAACATACTATTTTGGTATTCTACTTCGTGCAAATGTGACTATTGCCTCTCATGAGACGGCGATCTGAATGCCTAGGAATCAAAGGAGGATGAAAGCATAGGCTGTTTCCAATAGACACATGCCATACATTACTGTGACTTTACAAGTAGCTCAATCACTATATTGCACTCTCATCCGTTGCATCTAAGGTATAACTTATCAATCCTCAAGCTCCACTATCTCACAGCCACCTAGCAAATCTCGGACGATGATGAAAATCTCTTCAACTCAATTCGTATTACAGTACTCGTAACATCTTCAACCCTACAATCAAACGATCAAAGCTGCGACACCTAACGCTATCCCACGTCCAAAGTCCAAGCTCACCATCAGGTCTGTCAATACACCCGCTATCAACCAGCTGAAACCACGTCAATGCATCAATGCAATCTTCCATTCAAATCCACAATTCTACTCATAATATACTCCACTGCAGACATGCATGACCAGACGTTCCTGTCAATCAAGTTTGAATTTGACGCATCGTGGCTATTCAACTGCCAGTATCATTATAGTCGGTGTCAGTGTATGGTCTACTTCCCATCTTTGAAACTACAACGCACCAATGCATGTTCTCCAAGCTTCACGGTAACAGTCCACTGGCATGACCAAACGTTCCTGTCATGATACTGAAACTGGCAGTTTAACGGCAGTGTCAGTGTCAACTCAATCAACTTCATACTAATTTGTTGGACAAAAGTGTGTCTCACGCTGAGAGGTTGGCATCTTACAGATAAGACTACACCATGCTTAACAACGCAATGACAATCAACTAATCAGTATCGCTTGAGTGTAGAAACTTGCAAGTTGCAGGCCACATACGGTTCCACTCTACTAGAATTGACAGTTCATACATGTTTTGATATCATATACAGCATAGATCAATGACTGAATGTATGTATATGCATCTCCTGCCAAGAACGGTATGTGATTACCCCCAGCTTCGTCGCTGCACCGAGTACCCTCACTGCACTGCAAATCCCCCAGCAACTCGCAAATCATTGCAAATCATCGCATCCGCTTAGCAAGACTGTAACATCCGCTTCCAAGCGCCAACGCAAACCTGCAATTTCCACATTCCACCATACTAGTCAACGTCCCCCTTTAAGCAAATCGAGCAAGTATACTTATACACACTACGTGCTATAGCTTCTGAAGAATTCTTTTCAATTAATCATCCTTCATTTCTTTCTCAGATATGCCCTGCACACAACTCATCTGCAAAACTCGCCCAGTGACGCACAACTAGTGCTCTCGAACCCGTTAGCAACCGATTATTCGTTCACTGCAACTCAAACGGTCACACCGAGTACTTAGCCACATTAGCTCCGTGATTCCCTTACTCCTTTGACTCGATTTACTCTAACCCGAAAAGCACACCCAGGCCCACTTTCCACGAGGGGAGTGGACGAGGCGGGCCACGGTAATAAAGTTGTAGATCTACTTCAACGGGCACGAGTCATTCGTTTGGCGCTATTCCCAGTACAGTTAGTAAGATGGAGGGGGTGCATGTAGGTATGTGATGATTTTCGCTAAGGCCAGGGTAGAAGTAGTTCGTGATTTTAGTATGTGCCTTATGCAGACGTACGTGCGTGCGTGCGTATTCCGCTATCCGCGTTTGTTGAGAAGAAACAAGGCAAAAATAATGAGGAGGTTATTGATAGCGCCAATGATAAACTCCAACAAATATTTACTTCATGCAAAAACTTGGAATTCGAAGGGAGCATACAAGAAATTTGCTCGAACTGTCCACATCCAGACTAAATGACATAATTTCCTCTCTCTTTATTATTTCAAATATTCATTTCTCCCGCTGCAGTAGACTCAAACACTAATGCACACCCATCTGTATCTACCATTGTGAATACAGTCAAGTCGTCTCTACTTGCCTCGATCTTGATTACATTTCAACTGCCACTACTCATGCTTACGGTTACCTTCCAAGTCTAGAAGAAAACCTGAAGAATAGAAATAATTCGAAAGTCTCCGTATGGAATACAGAACTGCAAAGCAAGTGCTCTTCGATTATAGCATTCTGTTAGCAAGAAGTCTAGAATTGCAGGGAGAGCTAGAAAAAAGCTAGAACCTTCACCGAGTAGAAAGCGTTTGTTTTGCTAGTACTTAGTAGAGTTGCTACTCTGAAAAGCTACCATAGCTACATTACATTGCATTCAACCAGGCAAACTGGCAGTGCAGGTACGAAGTGCGCCACCATCTACAGAGTGTCTGGGTGTATTATACGTATATTTTGGCCAAGAGAGAAGTAAGCAAGAGTTTCGAGAATATTCTGCACCGTAGCTGGGTCGCCAGGCATGGGGTAGAGGGAGTCCTCTCATGATGCGAGAATTCGGTATACCAGTTCTGGAATCCTACAGTAGCAAGATCTTTGAGTGGCATGCGCCATCTCCATGGTTGCCCAAAGAATATTGATCCCTGGGATTTCAGAGAATATACCAAGCAAGGTCTAGGTTATAGATCCTGGCCACCATGTACAGATCTGAGGTATCATACTCATATCATCTTGTACTCCGTAGCTATTCGATGCTGGATAAACCATTGCTACCCAATATCCACAGATGGTGGGTTGAACATAGACATCCTCGGTAAAGGTGGATTCCGGTACATTCCCCTCAACCCCCATTCTCTCCTCTTTTGTTTTTCCGAATAAACTTTGCCCCCATGGGATGCCCCGGAAAATAATTTAATCATGCAATTCACAAGTCTGAATATTTTACAAATATTCAGAAAAATCCGGGCACTTGCCAGTTGATACTGCTGTCAGTCCTAATCCGATTTAGCTTCTTGACAATCTCTTTCGCGTCGTACATTTTCCGAAGAGCGACAGGTGAAACACGCCGACACATGGTATGTCTATCTCTGCAGTCGCTTTTGGGGTAGTCATCTTGATCTTTGTTAATAACATCTAAATTTGTTACCATTCACCGTTAACATGCATACCGCTAGGATTTGCTATCTCAATGTTGAATTTCTCTCAATTGTCCCCAGGAATGTTTCACGCTAATACCATAAGCCCCCAGCAAAGAACAATAACTGCAGCGCATTAAAAAAGTTCGATTAATCTCGTGAAAGGATATCATGTCCTTGCAGACACCTATTAGTCTCATTGGTATTAAGATCCCTTTTCTTTCCATAGCAGTGACTCCTGGCAACAGATTAATTACTCCAAATTGGCGGGACTAAGTCTTCGGTTCTTTTTATGCTCCCTCGTGATGGCAATATCGCAGCAATGTCTTGAGACTGGGGCTCGAAATATGGTTAGAGGGCTCTCATAATATAGAGGGTGAAATTGTAAAGTTCAAGCTCCACAAAGTAGTCAGTGGGTGTATAGAACCATACAAGAACTGTACGCTGAAGATCGTAACGAGATTTGTCTGTCGTATAAGTGGCTCACTAGAGCAAACGTCTCATTTTGGTACATACATGCCCTGATTTCATGATGTGTTTCTATTATACTCCCCCGGAATTGAGTATTACCTGCTCAGTCATGCTTACAGCGAGATTTGATGTGATACTCGCCTCCCATTGCTGGGCTCAATCAAACCTGGCGACATACAAGCCGCCACGGCCGTAAATATTCCCATGTGTTACGAACTGGCAGCCAGATTTTCACCCCGTTCATCTCCGTAACCGTAGTCTATTTGACAAGACACGCGATTAATCATCACACCTTAGAGGAACTAATGAACTAGAAGAATGCCACATCGCTCGCTCTGCCGCATCATTATATCTCTCTTTAGTGGTCTCACGAATTCTCTTGACAAAAACGACGCTTATATCAAAATATCTGTAATCATGTTCGGCGACTTAATCTAGGCACATCATTAGCATCGAACCAGGAATTATAGGAGATTGACCAAAGCAAACGAGGAATAACGGTATTTCCACTGGTAAGAAGGTAAAATTAGATCTTGTTACTGCAGCTGACTGGACTACTATTAGCCCAGTCGTCGTTACTAGCAATGGTGGCTGTGATGTCATACCACTGTTACTACAAGATGAACTTTCAATCAGTGAGTTTATTGAGAATACAAGATGTGAGATAAAACGAAAGATAGAAGATCCACCAACTGGGTTCATCAATTCCATGGTTCGTCTAGATGATAGGGGGAGTTTCAAATAACAATAAATTCGCAATGTTCGCGGCAATTGAAGCTTTGATCAAGATAAATTTTGAATTTCAATCATTAAGAAATACAATTTCTGATCAAGATTTATGAACGACCGTAGAGATTAATTGATATAGTATAGGATCTTGCTGAAATAGAGCTTGTCTTGAATAGGAGAACACAGAACATGAACCTGCGTGTCAGATAGTCCGGATTGTAAGCTCATAATGAGATGCCCATCGAAATAACTTGAAATAGTGAATTCAGTCTGAACATTGGATCAATTAAACACAGGAATTGTTCAAAGTTATCAAAGCATGCTTAGAGATTCAAAGCTCGAAAGGTTTCGAATTGGACAGCATTTCAGATTTTTGGACACGGTGCTGTTGTGAACGAATTCAGAAGGCAGAATACGTGAACGATGAAATGCAAGGGCAAAGCAACAGTATGTGTGACTCTAGAAATCAGCAGCGAGAGTACTCTTTCACTACGAAGTCTGGAGATCTCATCTTTCTTCCATGTAAGAAAAGATCACACTGAAAAATCTCGTATTGTCCGGCTCCATTCCTTCGACTCTCACTCGCGATCCTCGTAACAGATACCATTTGATTCAGACACTTCCTTCTCGTTTGGCATGTGATACTACCTTCGGTCTGTAAACGCACACTGATTTATCTTGAGATTCACTTTCAAATTGAATCAACTATATTCAATTTCTCCTTCGGCATCCGCCATTTCCATTTCCATTTCCACCTCCGCTCCCCTCCTCTCCCCTCTTTTCTCCTCCTGGGCTTTAGTGGCCATGTCCTCTCATTGATACATAATATAAATGTTCTATAGAGGCAAAAGAAAACACTTCAAGGGAGTCTGTAACTCACAGACACCTTTACAGCATAGTGATTGGCGAGATCTTTCAATGTTCCGATCTTGAGTTCGACAAATACAAAGGCCCTTATAACAATTTTCATCCTTTAGACCAAGATGTGACAATCGAACGGTACGTAGCAGTAAGTTGCACTTGAGGCAAATGATGCCATCAAACCTCATGATACATCTTTGAGTTTGAGGGTGGAGTATGCGCCGTGGTTGTGTCGACACATCTAGGTATATATGATAATAATGAATTACTCCATCCACTTGTGATTCCCATATGGCCGGTAACAAATTTCAGCATTCCATTACAGATTTTAAGATCAGGTGGTGTCTGTCTTATACTTGAATGCTTTATATCGCTCTTTCAGTTCAAACTCAACAATGCAAATGATGATGATCTAGGTCTTGAAGGAACAATTTGATCTTCAAAAAAGGTACACACTAAGATTTAACTCCGACCCCACACCGCGCTTACACTAACAACTTAGCAAGTTCGGCTTCAAAAGAATATCCTTAAGCTACAGTAATAGGTAGATACCTACCTATCATATCTCTTTTAATTCACCATTCAACTATTTTGATATTTGGAAAAACATTCAATTCAACTCAAGTCTTCTTAAAGGTCGCCCTTTCGCGCGCAAACTTCAACTTTCCTCCCAGGAACCTCAAATAATCCGAGTCTGCATCACTTCCTGGCATTAAAGACCACCGGACGATTCTGCAGCTCGCAGCAAACATAACACATCTCATATCTAGGGATTAGATCTATCACTCATTGAAAAAAACAGACAAGCTGTACAAATACACGTCAAGGACTTCAGACACGCTCTCAAGAACCAACATCTGCAACGAACGACATCTATAAGGATACAATACTTGCGACCCTTTCACATTTCAACATGGCGACCGACATGGATATCGATATGGATATCGATGTTGGGATTATGGATGAATTGCCCGTTCCAGATATGGTAGATATTGAGCTCGTTGTAAGTACTTTCGGCATTTAAATGTGCATGCGCCAGTGGAAAACACAAATGCCAGATCGGAGGCCCTGCTCGACGTGTCACTTAGACAACATTTTCACCAGCATTGCACTAACTTATGTATACAGCCGGATCAGCCTGCGGCACAAAACGAAACCTCAGCTCCAAATGATAACTCTGGTCCAGACGCAGAAAAACCTACACCAGAGAAAGTCCACATCCGCGGGTTGGACAATCTTACCACTCAGGATGTAAAGAACTTCGCGCAGCATTATTTCACCGAATACATTTCACGAGTAGAATGGATTGATGATTCTTCATTAAATTTGGTGTATGAAAGCAGCGATATTGCTGAAGCAGCTCTTCGAAAGTTCTCTGCTCAAGAACTTCCGGAGGATATCTCACAGCTTCCAGTCCTACAATCATTTCCTGCCAACCCTTTCCCTGAAAACCCTAAAATCAGCTTACAAGTACGCATTGCCGTGGTCGGAGATCGTAAACAGAGAGGAGCCCGAGAAAGAAGTCGCTTCTACCTTTTCAATCCCGAACATGATCCCGCAGAGCGCAGAAAGCGCGAGGGTGGACGAAGATATCGGGACCGAGATGATGACGGGTATAGAAGTCGGAGATATGACGAACGGGAACAACGCAACCGCCAGCGTGGAGATGCGGAAGCAGGGTTCAATGCAAGTCTTTACGACGACGACGAAGCAGCTTTGGCAACTAGAGCTGCAAGAGGTCGTGGACGGTCAGGATCTGGCTCGCCCATTAGCGATTTCAGGGAGCGAACTGGCAATCGACGAGGCTCCGGTTCGCGAGAGTTGTTTCCAGATAGGAGTGGAAATGATGGAAGATTGAGAGATCGAAGCGCATCGCCCATGAGGAATGAGGATAGAGCTAGAGATAACAATAGACGACGTCGAGACACAGCTGCTGCGGAGAACAGGTCGAAAGCTAAGGATATTAAAGTTCGCCTCCGCAGAGAATCTGCTACAAAGGAACTCTTCCCGAGCAAATTAGGCACTGCTCAACGAAAATCCGGTGCTTTAGATTCTGCAGACGAAACAGCAGATTTATTCGCAAATAGAATGCCTGTCCCATTTCTTGATGGGAGCTCAGATGTACGACCTAGCAAACTCTCATTGGCAGAAAGGATTACATCAGAACAGCCACAGCAATCGCAAGGCTTTAACATTCGTGGAACCGCAAAGCCTGCGTCTACTGGGTTCTCTATCAAAGGCTTAGCATCCGATAATTCAACCATGAAGGAACTATTTCCTTCTCGCTCGGGGAGCGGGAACACCGGGAAAGAGCTCTTTTCGGAGAGATTAGTTGGACGGGGTACAAGAAGGCAGAAGGCCGAAGATTTATTTTATTAGGTTTAGGAGGTCATGAAGCCACTCGTAGGCATGTAGTGATATTTTCTCTGCGGTTGACAGGATTTCACATAGCGGCGGGGTATCGATGCTTTAGCAAATGGAGTTATATGGGAATGGAAATGGAAATGGAAATGGAAAAGATACCATTATACTCTGCACATAGTAAGCAGCATTTCACAAGCAGGCCGAAGCTCGTGGTCTATTTATATTATTCAATAATCACCTCTCAAAGCTTCTTAGTTACATAATCGCAGGTCAATGAAATTGTGAACCGTTTTCCGACAATGATGGGACTCGCGATAATGTAGCCAAATTCCTTTTTGTTCAATTGATAAATGGTATAAACTGAGTCACTTCACCACCAACGGCTTCCGAACTCCATTCACCTTTGAGACCAATGTAAACACTAATCTTATAGTTCGACAAATGCTGCCATAGAGCTAGCTCAGATGAAACGTTATTGGCGCCAGTATCAAAGATTCTCGACATCTTACTTTTTTGGTACGGCCGTCAGCGCTTTGCTCCTTCTCTTTTCAGTTATATAATGCCTTCGAATAATTAACACCACATCGGTTCAATTAGACTTCCACAAAGTCGAACCACTTTATGATCATCTCCGTTTCCAGTGAATCCCAACAGCCAAAATGGATCAATGGCTCCGACCCGTCTTCGCAAGGACTCGAACACCAGTTCAATCCGCCCCAAGCAATACTTCTGATGAACCTCACGAACCCGAAGATACCATGAAATCCATCCGTCCTAGTTCGCGCGTTTCCTCCTATATTGGGTTTCGCTCATCAACTTCGAATCTCCATGCACCTGCAGGTGATACGTTCACCTTTCAACATGTCAATATTCCCGAAAATGTATATCATAAACCATCTGGAAGTCAGATGGCCGAAACACTTAAAGTGATTATGATGACGAGAAATTTAATGGAGCCGGTACCGGTAGAGTACAACACGTGTATTTTACATGTTCTGGAATCGTATAATGATCTACAGGAAATGTTGGCTGTTAAGGAGGGGGAGATTGAGGATATTAAGGGAAGGCATACAAAGGATATTAGGGAGTTTGACGGTATGGCTGAACAGTAAGTTACATTTGAATGTAGACGAACATCTAGGGTATGAATTGCTAATTATGCGTGTAAATTAAGGTGGAAGGCGAAAGAGAAAGATTATCAGAGAGAAATAAAGAATCTTGAAGTTCTTCTCTCCAAGACAGAGGGAGGAATGGAAAATGTTACGATGGCGCGCTCAAAAAGTGTTGTTCATGGGACTAGAAGAGCTGCAGATCTATTCGAAGACGGTATGGAGAAAATAAAGCAAAATTTCGCGCGCTATAGTTCTGGGAGAGGTTGGTTGCTCATCATCTCCTTTTTTGGTTTACAGCATCTAACTTCCTTAGATTCTTCTACGACCACAACTGACTGGGATATTGATCACGTACAACAAATCACTTTATCGCGTCCACTAGAAACTCCTACAAATGCAAGTGAGCTCTCTCATGAGGAAGGAGATATACACCGCGAAGGAACGGTCAAATCTCGACGCAAAGAAAGTTCTTCAGTCCAAGATACCGAAAGTTTTTACTCGGCTGTGGACAATCAATCCACCCGGCTGACCTCTGTACAACTAGATGCACTAGAAAGGCAACATGCTACTGAGGAACTCGGTGTAATATTCGACTCATCATCGGAATCAGATGATACCAGTTCCCGCTCGGCTCTTACTGAAGGTCAAGCTCCCACTCCCAATCGCACGCCCAGAATCTCCGGTATTAGTAATAGTAGTAAAGAGAAACCTCTCCCCGATATTCCGACCAAGCATCAAGAAATTGATCCTTTCTTTTCAGGTGAAACAGGTAATGCACGACCGTGGGTAGAACCACGAGACGATGGAGAAGTATCTTCTTCCGTTGAAACTAGAAAGGGATTTTCGTTCAGAACAGGAGATGATACACCATCTGTGCTGCATAAGCACTCGAGAGATGGTTTGCGAAAGAGTAATACGGTCTCGGTGCCAGGGAGTCGTCTGAGTTATGTTATGAATAATGAAGATGAGTTTGTGTCTTTACCTAGGCAACCCATCGCGGATGCAAATTCTCAAATCAAAGCAAACCCGAAAGCGAGAAACACGGGAGCGAAGCCGATTTTGAGTACATCTCCGGGAAAAGAAACTTATGCCACGGGTTTAAGACAGCAGTTGGGAATGGGAAGGGGGATGGGAAAAGGTATTGAGAGAGGTGACTCGAGTAGTAGTATTGTGACAGCTGTGAGGGATAATTCAGGCAGAAGTGAGAAGGGAAGACCAGTGAGGGGGGATACAGGTGGAAAGGGGAATGCAAGTGCTGGGAAACAGAAGCAGAGTCAGGGAACTGCGGTTATGGCTGTAAGTAATTTTCTTCTTGGGGGTGAGAGTGATGACTCTTGGATGATATGATGGATTTCCTTCTGTTCCTCTTTTATTTAAGTTACTTGATTGGACAAGCGACATGAGAGAAGAGCAAACAAACGAAAGAGCGGATGAGCGAATGAATGGTAATAATGAAATACTAACAATCATTCGTAAATAGGCCGTAAGAACGATAGCAGCGAGCAACAAATCGGCTACAGCCAACGATAGGATCCAAGCCCATGCGAATGAATCTGAGAGGAATGAGATTGATAGGAGGGAAGGAGTGCCCTTTAGTCCCGAGAGAAGTCCTACGGGATCGCAGGTCGGCGGTGGTAGGGAGTGAGTGGGGTTGGGATGGACTGGGATGGGGTTTGGGGAGATTGAGGAGGGGGTAGTAGAGCGAATGAATAGATGAGAGGGTGAGAGGGGTATGGATGAGAGGGGGTATGGAAGGCGACTAGATGATGTTTGACGTTGTTGATGATATCGATGGATGGGAAAAGATATGTGTATGTGTATGTGTATATGTATATGTATATGTATATGTATATGTATATGTATATGTATATGTATATGTATATGTATATGTATATGTATATGTATATGTATATGTATATGTATATGTATAGTAAGCCCATGTGTATCTACTTACTTACTTGCTAATACTAGATACCTACCTACCTAGGTAGATATCAAGCTATAAAGGTTTTTATGTATCTGAGTAGGTAGCTAGTACTTATACTTGTATTGAACACTTGTACCGAATACTAAACATAAAATCAGATAGATGTAAACAATATCAAATAACTTGAATAATACCAAATACCTAGGTAGGTATAAACGATACTTAATGACATACAACATGATATAATAACACACAAGCCTCCGACTACCCAACTATTTAGATAATTAATTACCTAGATTTATATGAACGAATATGTGAATGAATAAACGAATACGTAAACGAATAAAAGAATCACAGAAAACATATAAATCTGGATAGGTAGGTAGGTAGGTAGGTAGGTAGGTAGGTAGATATGTAGGTAGATAGGTACCTAGGTATCTATCTAATAATAAAGAAGAAAGAGTTGCAAGTATTCAATGAAGTATTTATTCATTCACTTCGGTATTTTAGACTTTTAGTCGAGTACTTAAACTACTGTACATACCTACAGTACTTAGATACCAACCATAAGCGAGCTCCCTAATCTTGGTCATTTAATCTACGAGGTAGGTATCTATTATAGCTGGGATGCCCAAGACACTTTGCTTTCTCATTAATTCATCCCTTTCTTTCACGTTGGTTGCACATTTCACGTTGGACGAGTTTGAATCTCGTAGATAGTACATAGTACCACATACCAGATACCACATACACAATCTCAACGACAAACAAAGAAATATAAACAAAATCAACAATCAATTTATAATGGTATCATTGGATTCTATCATACATAGGTACATATTGAATGAGCATTAGCATGCATGGATAGCATCGTAGCATCGTAGCACAAAGTACACCGCACACCGCACACCGCACGCATCGCACGCTTAAAAAGACTAAAACCGCACCCCCCCCCCCCCCAATACAGTACGTACTCTCTTCTTCCGAGCCGAACGATTTAGTAACGCGCGCTTCTTTCTCAAATTCATTGCCTCCCACCATACCGTCCATCCTGCACCCTAGTGACCTTTTGTGTATCCGTTCCCTTGCTTGAAGGGTTTTCTGTTTATGTTGTTTGTTTGTTTATCTGTTCGTTGATGTATTTCTTTTTTTTTTATCCTGGTGCTTGGGGGATTTTCCCATACACCCATACCCTATTGTCAAGTAGGGTTCCTCTCACTACTCACACCAAGTTGAATTCTTCCAACTTTCTGCTATCCCCATTCAATTCTTCTCAAAGCCATTAGATAGCTTACTTTCGCCTCTTGTCATCTCCCTTTCAACACCCTTCAACGCATCGAATCCTGCCTTTTCCGCGGCTACAAAACTTGCTTTTCTACCTGCTTTCTTTCCACTTGCTGATGTTCTTCTGATGTAAGATTTAATGAAGAATCTTACGAAAAGGAAGGTCAATGGGGTAAGATAGATGACATTAAGCCAGATAGCGAAAGTTTGACCACTGGTATCAATACAAGGAATCGTACGGGTCTCGGTGACATATGTTGGGATTTTAGAGTGCGATTTAGGGATAGAAGCAATTGGTGCTTGAGCGACATCTGAGACGGCTGGAGCGTTGACGTTCTCGGCGAGGCCTTCTTCGCCAACTGCGCGGTAAAGAAGTTTCTTGATCAGGTCAGCGACTCCGCTCGAGGTTGCGATTGCAGCGGCGGAGGTAGCGACAACGGATGCCGAGGAAGTAACCGAGGAGATGGTAGCTGGGATGGATGGAACTTGGACGGTGACGGTGTAGGAGATGAAGGAGTGGATGGTGGCATATGTAGCTCCAACGAGGAATTGAATGATTTGCATTGTTGTAAGACTGCGCTTAAGAGCTTGTGGGATGGGTACGGAGAATGCTGTAAGAGTGTAGTAGGTGTACTGAAAAGCCAAAAGTTAGTCTCAATTACAAGATTTTGGGATGATCAAGAACCTACCATTAATGCGTGAATTCCAGAGTTAACAAACACGAACATCCAAATTGGTGGTGACATGAATCGAATTCCAGCCCACATGCACATCATAGCTCCAGCATGATGGTAAGTTTGTAGGGTAGAACTTCTCTTTCCCTTTGCCAAAATAATAACAGTATCAAGAACCTCATAAAACTTGCTGAGATAGAAGAACCATCCATAGAATGCAAGTCCCTCATTCCATAATCTTCCCAAATCGGTAGAGTCTGGAGTTCCGGCACTTGTCAATTTGAATTCAGTTGGCAATGCCGCGTTCCATTTCGACATGCTTGCATTGTAAGACATAGCATTATCCAAACCAGTAACACCATGTACTTTGCATAAACTATCGACGGTACCGGCGAGACCAGCTGGACCCATTGGGTTTTGAATTGACCTTCTCAAAGCTCCAAACATGCCAACAAAAGTCCATCCAGAGTATACAGCCAAGAAAATGTTATGTGCCACGACGAAAACGAAGAATGCCCTGGTTTTACTGATTGGCCAAGCTTTGTTTCCAGCGCGTCTGTTGTATTGATTGACCAGTGTAACCGTTACAGCATATACAGCCGCAATTGTGATTGGAACTCGTACATCGAGGGCGGCATTGTACCAGGAGGGGTCGATTTCGAATGGAGGGGCAGAAAGTGTCGATCCTGGTATGGGAGGAGGTAAAGTTTGCGGGTCGCCCTTTGGAGGAAATGTGAATAGAGAGGGTTCAGGGTGAGAGAAATGGACCGTTGCGGAAGCCATTTTGAGTAAAATTTTATAGGTATTTTTCGTTCGAAGGGTTCGAATGCAAGTGAAGAGTGAAGCAGCCTTGTCTTGCGACGGAAGGGATGAAAGCAAAGAATTTCCAAGAAATTTGATATCGATATCAAAACGAATCAATATCAAATGAGGAAAGGACCAAAATTGGAGAAGGGGAAAAGGTTGACTGAATCTCTCAAATTGGAAGAAAGTTAGATATGAATCTTGAAGAAGAAGTCCAAACTCAATATCGTATGAGTATGAGTATGAGGGAGAGGAAGAGAGGCAATAATGAAACTCCTCAAGCAGTATTGTTGATATTGTTGATATACTAGGTAGGTACTAGGTAGGTAATGTATAATAAAATTCCTAACCTTCCTTTGGCATGCAATAAAAAAAAAGATCTGAAAGGGAAGGGAAGAAATGGAAGAATCGTAGAATGTATGTAGATGTAGTAGTACGTACTGTACCCTCTCCTATCTCTCTCTCTCTCTCTCTCTCTCTCTCTTCCTTCTAAATACGGGCCTCGGTTCTTTTTCTTGATTCTCGTTCTTTTTTAAGAAAATAAATGAAATGATTGAGTGAACCCGTTCGTAATATTGAAGGTTTTACTAGGTAAATTCATCCATTTTCTCTTGGTTTTTCTCTTTCATTTGATAGATCATAGATCATAGTTTGATAGCCTCGCTTCACCTAAAAAAAAAATCCCAACAATTTTTGGACGAACAAAAACTTCCAATTCACCACACAAGGAAGGAGCCACAAACGAAGCTGCAATGGACGGAAAGGAAAGTTAACTAGGATTAGCTGATTAGCTGATTAGCTGATTAGCGGATAGTTGATTAGTTGAGTGGGTTATCAGGTCTTCTTCAGCCTTATTTGGTGCATCCATACTGGTACATGAATGTTCAGTGCGCACATTGGATTTGATTGCGCATCGCATCTACCGCCTTTTGCTCCGTATCCCGACAAATTCTGCACTTGTGCATTGGTTAATGCGGTTAAACCGTTTACACGATACACGAGACGATACACGATACACGATACACGATACCAGATACATACCAGATACCAGATACCAGATACCAGATACCAGATACCAGATACCAGATACCAGATACCAGATACCAGATACCAGATACCAGATACACGATTCACAACTTTCTACCAAGATGCATCTTCACTGGTCAATCGTGCAGCAAACGTTGTGAATGCAGGGTAGCCTCTACATATGTTCTTGCAGGTGTACCTAGGTAGGTAGCTTTAAAGCAAGCCAACAGGTACACACACCAAAAGTCAATTGAATGACTAAAAGCTTTATCCTCTTCCTTTCCTAATGAAAAAAAAACCCACCTGATGAATTCTTCCAATTAGTGGCGAAAGGATATTTTATCCAATTCTTGTTTTTTGTGTGTTTTTGCCTCTCGCGTCTCTTTTTTTTTGCCTTCCGTCTGCTGCCTACCTAGGTACTCCGCAGATATCAAAATGGGAGGAAAAGCGGGGCCAAATTCATCACTTTGCTCTCAACAAAATGCACGAAAGTCGGATTTGCCCACATTGAGCTTGCTAGTCCGAAATAAAATTGTGAGTTTGAAAAATAAAGGTGTAAAGTACAAAGTGCAATGATACATCCGAGGCTAGCTTTTGGGATGTGCTGATTTCATGTGACAATCACACGGTTGTGGGATTTTTGTTTTTGCTGGCTATTACTATTGCTGCTGCTCCTGTCGTTGTTGCTATTGCTGTTGTTGTTACTGTGATATCATCCAGTTTAACATTAGTTGTTAAATGTATTGCTCGACGTTAGATCATTCTGAAGATGCAGTTTTTTTTTATGGTTATGACGGACTAGCTAGTGTAACCTTTGTGCGGTACACAAGGACTGATGTTATTGGCTTCGCCACTTGTTGCCCCTCATTCTAACAAATCTTTAATTCTGGGGTATGCATTGGAGCCGCTCAAACCTCCAAGTTCGTGTTTTGCGTTCACGTGTTTTGCTGTAACCCTGTCACTTGGAGTCAAAGAAAGATCAAGTCGGAGCTGAGATTAAGGGAGCATGAGCACGATATTTCCAGATCTTTCAATTATACACGTATATATAGGGGTTTGAGATGTCGCTTTACAAAGTTGTCTATTGTGATTAATTTAATAGTTGTTACTCAATTCATTCATAACAAGTGAGAACTATCAGTCAAGTCAGTCACTAATTTAGATATTGGATTGTCTAGGGCAGTTAGAACATTTCGAGGATCTATCATCTGAAAGAGTCCTTTCCTTCAAAAAAGTCACATCATCTCAAAAGATATTATTCTTTGAGGCATTGACTTCACTTAAAACATTGAGTTCATCTGAAATGTTAAATCATTTAGAGTATGTGCTTAATCATAACTATTAGGTACAGGTTGTCCCTTTCAGTATAGCGGGTTCTTGAACTCGTCTTCTCGTATAAGGTGGAAAATTATGTTAAGGAAAGGCCGTGGTTCAATCTAACGAATTCTGGTCTGGTACATATCATTTGTTATGAGGGGTTTTGGTGCATTTCTGAGTTGCTAAAGCTGCACGATCATCATTATTTTCATATATCTATGTCCATAAGGGGATTAAATAATATACCAGCCAGACCCTCCAAACACCACTTCACTTTGATGCCTAACATCTGGCTGTCCCAGATTTCCGTAGATCCACGATCCATTCCATGCATAAACTCATTTCTCAGCTTGACTCTGCTTGATTGCCTCCATCACCAGACTACTTGAAAAAGAAAATCACAAAAAAGGCCTCGCTTTGTTAATTCCCACGCCATAGAACCCCAGTGCCCCGAAATATTCGAGTAACCCTTGGACAATTGTTGATCTCCCGTTTTACCTTTCCTCACTTTCACCATTAATTCAATTTTTAAATCTCTCGGAGAGATCTATCCTTGAGCTGTCCCAGCGCGAGTGTAGCCAGTAGCTAGTTCTAAAGCGAAGACAGGTTTTCAGCGCGTCTTTCGTTGGCTTAGTGAAGAGCTAGAGATCTTCTCGGACCATATTCTCGGCTTCGATGTCGCCATTTGGAGACACGGCGGGACTTATTGTTTGGTTGTTTTCGGTTCCCGTCAGCATATAGCTGGCTGGGCCAAGTCTTCCTAGTGGCCCGCGTGCTACTAAGGTGGAACGAACTCGTTTGTCACTCGACCAAATTCTTGAAGCGTCTTCTGAGACGGAAAATTTTGGTACACTTTGTCGTATCGTGGGACTGTGGACGGAAGCCGGTTGGGGTGGTGTCTGACTTCTAGAAGCACGAGGTAAAGCGGAAGAGAAACCAGGGAATGCTGTGGTATATATGGAGTTTCTTGGAGGAGATGGAGATAACATATCAGCTGGTTCGATATGTGGTGGTTCGAGTCCTGGACGAAGAAGGAAGAGAGGAAAAATATGAGTTGGTTTGACGGCTTCGGGTCCATTCTGATTGCCAGTGCTAGAGTGCGACAAGTGTCTAGCATTTGTATCCCGGAATTTTTGTTCGTACCAAGCGGCATCTTTTCCATAGACGGCGGCCTTTGCTGTAGCCTCGATCTTATCGTAAGCAGGGAACTGCTCAGCTATATCTCGTAGGAAGCCGAGCATTGGTATTCCATCAACTAAAAGTATTTGGCCCGCCGCGTTCATCGCTGGTAACCCAACGGAAACTCGCGTAGAGAGCAATTTCCCGTGCGAGTCGTAGTCAGCAGGAGCCTTGAGGTGGCGTGTAATCTTAGCGGATATGTACTCGGTACTCATTACAGCGCACGCAAGGTCTCCATAGAACCGACGGGTCGGGAGCTTGTTATCTCGTGGAGACGGAACACTTGGGTTGAAGAGAATGGGCCTAGTGTGCCAATCTCGAACTTTACCATGTACGGTAGTACTGTGTTCCATCCAAGACGCTAAGGGAGTTTCTCGTTGCAGTCTTCGAGCCGCATACAAGTTTTGTGACTTCACGCAGGTATTTTGGCGACTACCTTTCTTTTTTCGGGATGCAGTATTAGAAATAAGACTTTGGTTGACCGTTGGCTGAGGAGGTTCCGCAGTAGTGGCTGGGGTGCAGCAAATTACTTCCTTGTCGGTACCGAGTGCTCCCTTTTTGCGGGCCGGGGCCGGGCCTCTCTGAAGATTATTAGTTACTATCTCGCTTCCCAAGTCATCTTCCAAATTCTGTCTCGACGCCTCTTTCTTTCCCTTCCCTTCTAGAAGCTGTACAGCCATGTCTAACACACTGCCTACGAAGCCATGCACCCCTTTTTCGGTATAAGTGCGAGGATCTGAGGAAGTCTTGGCCATGGCTACGCTTGTACCTGATGTGTCGGGAGCAGTCTGGACCCGAGGATCTTTCTTCCTGGATAATTGCTTCATGTTGTGGTTTGAGAGTCGTTTCTGTTCGAGTTTTATTGGTAGTGGGTGGGGTTCGGGGTTGGCTGGGTTGGTAGCGAGATTAACGAGCAAAGAGTTCGGGTTCTCCGAGTGACTATGAGTGGCTCGGGGCGCGAAATTCGGGCGATGCGGAACTCGTGGGAAACACCACATAAAGGTTTAGAAATTTGCGCGGCAAAATTGAAACTGAGGTTGTACATATAGGTACCTACGTATTCAAAGGGCGCTAAGAGCATCCTAGCGTAGTTTCCTGTTATGTAGAGTGAATGATGGATGCTGAAATGTGAGATATCACGTGAATAGAGACTTCAAGTGAATAGGTATAGATTCAAAGTAAATAGACAGGTGAATACTCAAGATGGATAGAGATTTAAAAATTGGGAATATTGAGGGTAGGAGATTTTTCCTATGGCAAATCATATATTGGTACCCATTATCCATCAAGATTTGAGTCTTACAAGAGCTATACGATATGTATTTGATATCAAAAGTCCATCCATTCTTTACACCCGTGTACTTTTCCGCCGCAAGCCCACCCTCATATGTCCTTTTCCACCTCTATTATCTCGAAGCGCATATGGAATAAAGTGAAGTTTTTGAATATCAGCTTTGACAAAAGTTTCCTCGTCGTGGGCTACATATGGTCCTGACGGTTCTGGAACTTGAAGCAGTGTCGCTCCGTCGCGGACCGTCAAATTCTTGTATGGTTCAGTAGATTCAACGTCGGTTTCTGATATCTCACACTCGGGATCCAAAACGAGATTCTAGATATGGGTCAGCATGGGATTGATAGGGAAAGATGGAGGGGTTTTTGCCTTGAAGTGATCTTTTACCCAAGGGTTATCGAAATCTTCCACGCAGTAGATTATAGGACCGCGAGCTAGGGCTACGATGTTTTGGTTTGTGTAGGGATGTGGTGATATACATCGCGGTTTGAGAGGGATGTTCAGTTGGAAAGAGGAGTTTGTTCGCACAAAATCTGGGGAGAGGGTTAAGTATCCTTTTGTTACTTTTGAAGCATGTTGTTTATCTTCGGGAGATATCTGAGTTGATTAGCGCGCTCTTTTGTCATGTGGAAAATCTCTTACTGTCCATTCTTTAGCCCAGCCGGGTATTCTCAATCGGATGGTTGTTGAGATTGCTTCGGGGCTCTGGAGCTCAAATCGGATATTTCCGTCCCATGGCCAATTTGTCGTTTGTTCAAGCTGCACCGTGTGCTCGCCTACCGAAATACTCAATGTTGCGGAAGCATACGTGTGAACGTTTACTTGTACTGTATTATTTTTTTCGTCGCTAGAGGGAGTCCCTAATTCACTATCAGCTTGATTCTCTTCCCGAAACAATAAATTTGCTCACAGAGATATCCTCCGACGTATCCCAGAAGTCGGGCAACATTGGGTGGACAACAAGCGCACGTAAACCACTCTGCTCGTCGGGATAAATCTGTATCGCTCGATGCAAGTTGATTCACGTATGTGAATTTGCTTCCGTCTTCTGACATACCAGTGGAGACGGCGTTGTAGAAACATAATTCCATGATATCCGCATACTTGGCATCCAAATCAAGCTAGTAACATTAGCATTTCCGCACAACTTGTTCTTTGATTTCCGCACCTGCAAAAGTCTTTCGGCGAGCATCATAACGCCTATAGATGCGCAAGTCTCGGAATAACATCCTCCCTCGTCGGTACCGGAAGGGAGAAAATAATCGATTCCGAAACCTTCCCATTGTTTGATGGCGCCAATGCCTCCCGTTAGGTACATTTTCTTTTGCACCATATTGTTCCATAGGCGTTCTACTGCAGTTCTTTTTGTTTCGGCGTCTTCTGATTTATCGACTCGTACAAGATCAGAGACGGCTGTTAATAAGTACATTGCTCGGACAGCATGGCCTTCAATGTTTTCTTGCTCAACGATTGGTTTGTGTGCTTGTTGATACCTAGCTTAAGGGTTAATATCCTTTTATTCGACTGAAGTCTCAATACTCACCAGTAACTTCGTTTTTCGGGAAAATATTTTGGCATTTCATCTGGTCGATCCCCTCTTACTTCCGCCTCCACATCATAGTAATGCCGCCCATCTTGCCCCTTTGGATTTCCCCTCTCGTCGATGAAATATCTTGCTAACTTCAGATGCTTTAGATCTCTAGTCTTCTCATACAATCTCAAAAGAGCAAGTTCAATCTCCGGATGTCCAGGATACCCGTGCTTTTGTTCTGGATCTGGTCCAAACGTTAAGGATAATAAATCTACATATTTCAGAATTGGTTCTAGTAAGAGATCATTCCCATAATATTGATTATGTGCAAGCGCTGCCTCGATCAAGTGACCAGCATTGTATCTTAGTATCTTCGTTAGCCGCAATCGACATACACTTCATGGACATTCTCACAATTCATGTAGATCCCTCAGATTCGTGAATCTCTTTCCAGGCTCCACGACGGTAAAATGTATATTCAGATATCCATCATCTTGTTGAGCAGATCTAATCATTTCCACCAACTCTTTGACCGCACTCTCAATCTCCTGATTTTCCTTATACTGTAAGAAATAACACGCTCCCTCTATCCATTTCGCAACATCTGAATCCCAGAATAAATGGTTGGGCACTGGCCACACATCCGGTTCGTCGTTGTATGATGCGTGCCATTTTAATTTAAATGCATCGTATCTTCCTGTCGTCTTTAAAACTTTCAGCTGGTATAATAGTGTTGTCGAATACACGACTTCTCGTCTTCGACTAATGAATCCTGGGGTGGTAAAGGTGGTTTGGAGATGTGAATTTTGCGGATACGCCATGGTGGATTTGGTTATGACTCTCGTGCGTTTATTTCACAAGTCTGATATCTCATACATGATAAGAGAGTATTATAATTTATATATATGATTTTATCCCATTCGTTTAGGACATACTCACATCAAGGTTATTCCGCATACGATAGTCGCCATCTGAAGTGGGTCTGAGCACGCCCGCCCACCGGAGCCACCCCATGTTTACCCCACGATCTCCCCACCGGAACCTCACCCTAGACGTTCTCCCCAGCTTTGAATACTCGTTCCATGAGACGAGAACCAACACATGCCGTATGCGGGGCTCTTCAAATATGCTAGCTAGATCTACCATGCTATACTATCCCAATACACACACACACATATATATATAGACCAAGAACATGCACCCATTGAACCTACCTCGCCTCTCCATCTCTCCACCTCCGTTTCTCCAAGTGAACAAATATGGGGTTTCTTCAAACTTTCCTCCCGGCGAATGATCGCTATGCTGCATTGCTACTCTATGGAATGGTCTTCTCGACTTGTTTCAATGGATATGATGCGGGCATTATGACTGTGATTTTGGCAGATCCGCAGTTCACGAAATATTATGCGGTGAATGCGACGAAACAGGGGGTTATTGCTACGATTCCTTGGGCGACGACTGGTATGCTTTCAGAGACTTGATAGACTTGAGAGACTTGAGATATATGCATGTATGGATATGCTGATGTTAGAAATATAGGGTTTGCTCAATTGTGTATCGGAGGTCCATTGGCAAGTTTGGTGGGTAGACTATGGGCCTTGAGAATTTCTATCGCCGTTATGATTATTGGAGTGTGAGCACCTCTCGCCTCATCTCTATATCTCAAACAAAACTAATAACTACAGCATCATCCAAGTCGTCCCCAACACCTACGGCGTCCTCATTCTCGGCCGTCTAGTAACCGGTCTTGGTTTTGGCTGCGTCTACATAGCAACAAATCTCTACGTCGCCGAATGCGCCCCCCGCAGTCTGCGCGGCTCTTTCGTGGGAACCGTCTCTCAATTCGGGTACCAACTCGGAACCTTCATCGCTTTCTGGTCCGGCTACGGAATGTCATTCCACACTTCCCCCTTCAACATCGCGTGGCGGGTCTCAAACGTCATCCAAGTCCCCATCGGCTTCATGTTCATCACTCTCTCCTTCTGGTATCCCGAATCTCCCCGCTGGCTATTGGAAAAATATCCCGACACGCCCGAACGTTCCTTATCTACACTCGCTAGACTTCGTTCCGGCACCGTCACAGACGATCATGTGCGTCTCGAATTCCACGAATTGCTATCTTCACATGAATACCGTAAGAACTTTAAAACAGGATACATAGGACTCCTCTCCTCGGCTGGTATGCGCAAACGTCTCGCCTACGGTGTGTACGCCATGGCTCTGCAGCAATTCGGTGGGATAGCTGCTCTTACCATGTACGCGGCCATCATCTACAAATCGTTAGGCTGGGACCAGGGACATCAAGCACTTGCTATAAATGGGATACAAGCTGCGTTGCAATTGGTTATCGTACTCGTGAATACATTCACCGTGGATAGGTTTGGAAGGAAAAGTTTGTTGATTGCGGGATTTGCGATTCAAAGTATGGCGCTTTTGATCCTCAGCAGTTTGACAACTGCGTATCCGAATAATTCGAATAGGAGTGCGGCGATAGCTGAGGTGGCTATGTTGTTTATTGTGGGCTTGACTTAGTGAGTGGTTTCTACTTCTTCTCTCAAAGATCTTAATGTTTGGAGGATTTTGCTAAATTGTATCTAGCTGTTGGTCGAACGGTCCCGTAACGCCAGCCATCGCATCGGAGATTTTTCCCCAAGAAGTTCGTGATAAGGGATTTGGTCTTTCGCTTCTGGGACAAACGGTTTGTTTATTAGCTCTCACACAACCGTGGCCAAGATTCAACGATGAAGTTGGCGGGAAGAGTTATTGGTTATTATTCAGTTTGAACGTTGTTGCTCTGGTATGTATCCTCTTCTTTTCTTCCCATTTTTCCCACCTCTATCATCTTTCCTACGGAGTTTGGAAGAATATAACTAACGGAAAATAGATCTCCGTAATTCTCATCCTTCCCGAAACCAAAGGCATGTCACTAGAGCGTATGGATGCCATTTTCGGCGAAGTAGACGCCGTAGCAGCGGGCGAAACCGAGACGAGCGCTGAGAAAATCGAAGCAAGAACTTATGCCAGTGGTGTCACCATTAGTGGAGATGAAAAAGCAGAGAATAGAGAACATGTTGAACGTTCCGATTCGCATTAGTTGATCTCAATTCTGGAGTTTGAGACCAAACACTCTGATGTCAGAGAATAAAAATGGTATCGTTATTTTATCACATAGGAAGGGTGTTTGAAAATTATACTCCGGGGTTACATATTTCGGATGGAATGAAATATATACAAATATGATATTAATGAACGAAATGAGACATTTCCAACCTCGACGATGATAGTAGGAAAACGAAGTGTTCTACCTTCAGTGAACTAATTTTCCGGTAGTAGCAACATTTGCACATCTCGAAATCTCATTCCACTCATAAGTTATGAAAAAAGTAATGTAAAACTAAGCTTTTCCATCTATCTAGACATCTCGATAACAAACAAATTCACAAACAGAACTCACAAACAAAAGTCTCGAACCAAAACCAAACAATTCAAAGATCCCAACTCTAGCTCCACTTGCCTAGGTAAGTAAGTGATACACCACTTTTCCACCCGCATCCGCATGGACTCGTCACTCGTATGGTACATACTGGTACATCGACGGGAGTAATATGTGGGTTAGCGAGATGGTTCCGTGTGGGTTAACTAACCTGTACCATTCATCCGAACTTTTTTTTTTTCAGGAGGAGCGATATTCCGAATACTTTGTAACTTTCTTCCGTTACAAGCTGATAGCGACTGCATACATAATATATATATATATATTATAACGGTATACTTACAAGATATGAACTACATCAACATCATCATCATCATCTGGGTATTCTATATCAGCATCAACATACCTAGATAAAGGTTATCCCGGGGCTAAGAAGAACACACAGCAAGCACAAACCTACGAAATTGCACCCAGATATTAACCTGTTAGTATGCACGCATGAGAAAAAAACACGCAAACATTGTGAAGCACACCGATATAGAAATTTATTATCGTCAAATCGCGAAGAATGAGTGTATACACATAAAAATGTACTATTCCCCCTCCCTAAAATCTATAAGAAATACTAGGTATTATAGTTATATACATTCCCCAGACTTAATCGCCCTCGACATAGGATATCTCATATGCTTCCGCAGAGAGACTTAATCCACAATCCCAGAACTAACACCTTCATGATGTTTGTTCCCCAAAACTTCATCTACAGGCAGGCCACTCATCCTCAAGCCCGTACCATTTTATTCTCACCCACTTCTCCCCAAAAACATAATGTCATATTACAAAGATCGAATCACCTATAAACCCAATTCCCTACCCATAACCCGACCAGAATTCCACCCACTCTCCATCTCAAATCCGTGCTCATACCTCTCACAATTGTATTCCTCCACCATCTCACCCTCGTTACGTTCCCATTCGCATCTTCGCCCCAGTTCCCAAATCTAAAACTCTTACTCGGCGTTGCCTCTCCATCCTCAACCATCGGCAACAAGTCCGGTTTCAAAGTTGCTCCCAAGCCACCTAACTCATGACTCGTATGGTGTTTTTGCCCTTGAACCTGGCCATCCCTCGCACTGCCTCCATTCCAACCTCCATCAACGATCCATCCGGTAATCCTCTCCGTAGCTCCCTCTACCCTCCAGGCAACCCACGCAAAAACAACCGTAAGTAACGCAGCCTCCGACCACCTATCCCAGACCCCCAATCTCAGAATCCCCTTTAAATCGGCTGCCATCCAAATATGACTTTGCAAAATAAAAGTCTCCAACGAACATCTTCCCAACCATGCAAATATCATCGAATGACAACTCCTCAGAATGCTATGAGAATTCCTTAAGGTGATGAATGAGAGAATTGGAATCGCGGAAATGTAAGGATGCCACCAGAGATAATCTTCTCTATCTGGGGATCGTCGAGTTAAGAGGCGGAAGCCAGGGAGGAGAATGATCGAGGCTATTATAGCGGTAGTCTTGAAAGGTGTCGGATGGCGCGCGACCGGTCGAAGAAGAACATCGATCTTAGATGTGCAACTTACGGAAGCGCTTTTGATACGCATGAGACGTAGATAGAGAATCGCTGTTATCATACCGATATACACAATGAACATATCCATTCCAGCACGATATCTCCATTCTTGCATATTCCATGAAATGGCAAATGTATACTTCAGTATGAAAGCTAAAACTTCCAGAACCCCAGGGATTTTGATAAAAGCCGTTGTGAGACTAGCTGAAATAAAAATCTTCCCCAATAAGAATCCAGTGCTGGAATTCTTCTCTTGCTTTACCTTCAAAGTAAAGTAGACTACCAAGAACCAGAAACTAACAAGTGGAACAAAGTAATGAGCCATATAATCAGTACGCATCATATATGCCAGAGCACAAGTAAGCATATTCAGTCGAATTAAAACACTGGCCACTCTTTTGAAAGAATAATCTTCTCTCCTGAGGAAATACATCGTATGCCCATATCCTGTCATGAAAAGATAACCAGCCACAAGATTTCGCATGATTTCAAACAGCCATAGAGTTTTCGATCCATGTGTATAGTGATAAATAAGAATTAAGAATTGCATCCATCCTTTCCACTCATCAGTTTGATCTCTCGAAAGGAATCCATAATCGAAAGCATGAGCTCCGACTTCATGATTACCCTTGGAAGGACTCGAAGGATTGATCAACCGAACGGAAAGAAGACCAGCGATAAGTACAGCAGAAGAAGCAATAAGAACCTCTCTTTTATGAAATTGCTTATGCTCTTTTTCAAACAATTGAGTTCGATCAGCATAGTAGCAATAGCAAATTGCCAAAGCAAAAGTCATAAGAGCACCAAGAACTTCTGGTTGAGGCAATAGACGTCCAATTCTTAAGAAATGCTTACGGCGCAGTAAAAAGACACTAGGAAGTAATATCATTCCAACCAAAACAAAAAGCCATTGAATCAAATTAGGCTGTCGGTAGTTATTACAACAAGTCCGGTCGTAAGGATAGCCTCGTCCAACGGAGTCTGCATTACAACGAAGATTAAGCAAAACATCAGCTTTTCGATGGGCCACATTATCAACCACATGCAATCCACTCTCCTCGTATTCTCCTTGGCCAGCCCAAGTCATGAGCGAAAAACTCCAAACGATGTCAGCTTCCGAATGTGCGGAAACCTGTTGTAAATAATCATTCATTTGATCGATCTTTTCCGGTGTAATAGTCTCCTCTCGAGAGGGCGATAGAGCCTGATACCAAGGTACCTGCACCGGTGCCAAAAGTAAGAAATTTGGAGATTTCCTCTTCGAAGGAAACGATTGTGATGCGGCAGCTCGTAAAGCATGCTCTCCTCCATCATGATCCATAAAAGGAATAACATGTTCAATCGAATCTCTGAAGTCCTTGAAGAAATTCTCCTGTCCATGTCTCGCATACCACAACCCGGGAGCTCCCAACAATATCAACCCAGCACTCTCATCTGTCTTCGAATCTTGCGCTGGATTTGCATTAAAGCTCTTTAATTCTCGGTCCAGTCCCGTAGAATTGAGATATGGATCCCAAATAAACTGGACCGTAACACCTGAAGAGCTAAACTCCAAATCCTTATGTTTGTCCGCCAAATCCAAATCCAAATGCTCTGTGATTTGTTCCTCCGCTCTTCTTTGGTCCATCTTCTTTGCAACTGCCCAGAAAATTTGTCGTGTGGTAGAATCTCCAATAAAGACCAATCTGCGTTCCTTGAAACATTCTTGTATGTCTTTGCGCTTGTATTCATACATCATACACCCCGGAGGTTGCCAATTCTGAAAAGGATTTTTCGAGCTCCATCTCGGACCTGGATCCAGCCATTGGCCTTTGTTGAGTAGGGCACCACATTTGTATGGATCGGAGATATCTGCGAGTTGATTGTTAGCTGTGTGCGTCTCGGAGTAAGGGGTTGTGGACAGAGGAGAGTTGGGATTTGACCTACCTATCCAGCAGTATCTATAGATAACACAAACAATGATGACTGAAATCAGAGCCTGGAAAGTCTTCTCAACCACCGCCGCAATACGGGTTGGCGCAGAAGGAATCGTCACTCTCAGACGAGACATTCTGCACAATGATTCAACCCTTCTTTCAAAGCACTATCGCATCTATTAAATCCGGATGTTGGTTGTCCTGCCCTTCCAGTCCAATCCGGTAGGTATGTATCGCAAACACAGCAAACCAAGAAGAAGAAAAGAAGCCCAATGCAGATTTGAAAACAACCAACAAATAAGGCAGGCTATCAATCAATCGAGTGACAAAGAAAGCAATCCACTCTCATTAATTCATTCAGCATACAAATCGTTCTTAACCTCAAGTATAAGTTACCTTTTCTTTTCCCTGAATTTTGCACCGACAATATGGCGATAGCATCAAGAAAGAAGACTCAACCTCCACACCTATTAGAAAAGAAGGAGAAAGGAATAAGAAGAACATAACTGCCAGATCCAGGAACATGACCTAGTTAATTTTGTTCGTCAAGAGAGGGTAGGTACATCCCATCCAATTTTGAGGTAGAGTCTTGGCTTCTCTCCATTCAATCCGCAATTGCTCGAATCACTGTCGTCGTGCCTGCATCCTTGTACTTGATGGAAACAGGCATTGTTAAACATTGATGAGATTTTACCCAATGCGTATTTTGGCATTCTCGCATTCTCGCATTCTCCCCGCAAAAACCCAAGTCCGGACTTGGTAAAGTCACAGCACAAATCCATCCTTCACTCCAGTTATGATGCCGATGGTCTTTCCAGCCAATGATCCTGTCGCTTCAAGTCTTGCCAATACGGATATAAGGCACATCGACAATATGCCAAGCAAACCTCACAGCCATCAACACATGTCAGCCTCCTGCAAAAAGTTCTTGGTATTAAGGAATATAAATCTATTTTATGTGAAGCCTCTCTGTCACCAACCACCAGATATACTTTTTTATTCAGCCGTCTAATCCTCCCAACTCTCTAATACTGCGATGCCTACACACACGCCCGTCTCTCTCACGCTCGTATTCTCTCTCACAGCCATCGGTCCCGAAAACATTATCCAACCAGTCTCTTGTATATCATGTCATGCGCACACCTTCCCTATCCAATCCATTCTACCCCCCATCCCACCTATTCCGCGTTCCAACCCTCCACTCTCTCAAAAGCCTACAGCCGAAAGTATCCAACCTACCGCAATACCAACCAACCGCATTCCACTCCAAAACAAGCACAACCATCCGAATCCCGAATGCGAAATTTCGAACAGCCTTAGAAAAGTGGGATCCATCATCCATCCAAATGATTAACTTCTTGGGACTAAGCTTGCCTTAGCTTATCTTAGCGCCGAACCTTCGTCGGAGAAGCTTTATCTGATACACTTACGAAGTACCTACGAGCCTAGTGCCTACCTAGATACACACAGCGGAAAATATCGGAGCTTAGTTTGTCCGAGATAAATTTAAACTTGTTGATAGAAAGAAAAATCTTTTCGTTTCATTTCTTTCGCGTTTTGTTTGATCAATTTGATCAAAGCAAGAGACGATGGGTAAAAAGTGATTGCTTAGAAATCCGCACTCACTTGTTCAAGATGGGTATCTACCTCCTAGCTGGGTATACCACAAACTGCATCCCAAAACCAGTCCAAGTACCCTTTGTTTTCTTTCTTGCCAGTGATTCTATTTCACTTATACATGTATCATCAAGCAATATCATTGCGAAAGGTGTAGGCATGCAAGAAGCTCTAGCAACCCGTACATTAACAACCAACAGTAGAGTATCTCTTTTCCCTTTCCTTTTCCCTCCCCCTCTTCCTTCCTCCCTATCCCGTCTTCTGCCTCGCTCGGCCAGCTTTTTCCCAAAGTCGGTCTTGAGCTGGATACCTCACCCTTGGATCTTAAACCATCCTCGAGTTTGCGTACAAGACAAGAGCGAACCTAGCAACGACCTTTGAGTGCGGACCCTTCTTATGCCATATAGGAGATGTTTCGCAATTTGTAGTTGGTACATCCGTCGATTGAGAGAGTTTATGTTGAATCGAAGAAGTAAGATTAATGAATTGAAGTCTAAATTGACATTCAAAGATAGAGTCAAAACTTAAATTTAAAAATTCATTTCCATTCATTTTGCTCATTTGCTCAGTATCTACTTTTGAACATGTACCACCTCCCTTCTTTTAGTTTAGCTCCAAGCTCAAATATCTTAAATTCGCAGCAAGATTGTATTTCGCTCTCTGCTCTGTCCCTCACGCAACTCAATGCCAAGTCCTCTTCGATTTCTTACTTTGCGGCTTAAATCTCTTTTTCATACCTCCACTTCCACTATCTCTCCCCAAAAGTGACCTCTTCAATTCCGTCTTCGCGAGACTTACTGGGTTTGGTCCATTCAAAGTGGTGTTATATGTACTATTTGATGGCAAAACCTCGAATTGCATCGTTGCGTTGCCTTCTCTATACGTACTCTTTTGCGTTCCCGTTGTCAAGTAAGTTTTGTTACTATCAATGCTAATCAATCCACTTTCGATATCCTTTCTTCCAATGACTCTTTCGAAGATTTCGAGAGAGGCAAGAGGTTGATAGAAGGGAACTTCGTGACCGGACTCGTAGATGCGGGAGAAGGAGAAGAGTCCGGATTGTTTTACTTGACCGTGGACGATGGAGTCAGAGGTGGTAATATTGGTGTAGCCGGCGACGGAGAAGTTGGTGGCGTTTACCTCGTTAGCGACTACTTCTCCACCTAGCCAGTTGCAACTGGAGATCTGTGTTAGGAGGGATCCAAGTTAATGATGGTGCTTGAAGTACTTACTTGTAATCGGCATCACCGGCCATCATAGCAACGTAAACTCCTTGGCTAAGCAATGCTCTGACCGCCTCAATAGTACCAGACTCTCGACTATAAAGAGATTAGTAACCTTCGTGAAGTATATGCTTTTGACTTCCACTTACTCATCATCACCAGTAGAGGCAAATGCATTTCCTACTGTATTTGAAGAAGTACTGAAATTCTGGAAAGCACCAATAGCAGCTTGGACCTCTGGTGTGTTGAGATATGATGTGTAGTAACCATATGGGAAAGGATCAGGTGTCAACTCTCTCATGTCATATTCATCTCTTCCCAGATAGATGTCATAGATACTTTCTACGAGATCAGCACAGAAAGAATCTGCAGCTTGACAAATCTCATTGATACCTCTCGCTGCACAGTCTTTGACTTGATCGACACAGTTTCCGGCACCATAGAGATTGTTGTAGAATTGGGCTTGTACGCTCTCGTTAAAGGGAGAATAGTCGTATGTGTTACCAGGGTAGACGGTAAAGTTGTAGTAAGCTTGATATTGGATCAATGGATCATACCAACCATTTCCGATGAGAACCGATTCAAGGGAGATTTTGTGAGCACCGGAGATGTTCTTGGCGTTTTGAGTCTCAATATACTCATTGTATACTGGACCATAATGACCACCATAACTCTCAGTCGCAAAGTGAAAGCCGTTTCGAGAGTATTCAGGGAAAGCGCCCATGAACCCTTGCAAGGTTTTCCACTGTATTCAAATCAGTACATCTCTGTGAAACAACCAGATCAAAACTTACGAAGTTGGGAGCTCCAGCCTGGGTAGTATTGACCGTAAGACTTTCATTTCCATAACTATAAGTTCCACAATCCGAACCTTGTGCATAGTCTGGACAAGTAGCATTTGGCAGAGTGATGATGTAACCCGAGCTAGGATCAACATATCCATTGACTGGAATCGAGTATGAGAAACCGACCTGGTAAAGATCAGTTCACGAGCCCATCGCCTCTCTTCTCCCAATTTTACATACCTGAGTAGGTTGATCAATATAAATCATATTGCTAACATTATTCCAGCTGTAAGGATTATTGATCACACTTCCCTCTGCATCAATATAACACGGTCCATTTTCCTCAAAAAGACCAATCATAGAGGAAGAGCCTGGTCCGCCGTTAATCCATACTGTTAATGGAGCCTCCGATGCGTTACCGTTACGAGTTTCAAAGAACCACCTAGAGGCATGTTAACTTAAGGATTATTTAGGAATGATGGGTGTTTGGTTAAATCTAGAGACCATAGGTAATAACATACCAAAAGACATGTTGATCTTCCTCGACATCCACATATCCCGAGTAACTCTTAACACCTTCCTGCGTTTCACATATACCAGTCGGGACTTCTTTGTATCGAACCGGTAAATCAAGGTATCCAGTGGCATTAATGAGATCTGTAGGAGCCTTGACGAATTGAGCAGCAACGGATGTTGCTGCCGTGAGAAGGATGGGTACCCGGAGTGAGGAATACATGACGACGATGTGACATGTATTGATTGATGATGAGAAGGAGAGGTGAAGAAGGAGTGACAAAAAGAAACAGAATCAATTAGAGCTACCACCCTGTTTATCAATTACTCTGAAGGTAAATCTTGGGCGGGGTCTTTCGCAAGTACCCAATGCATTTTCCATGCACAACCCAGGTTGTATAACTCACAACGTAGAGTTCCTGCATACACTTTCTCAATTCACCTCTCAAGCTACAATGGCTCACTCAACTAAGTCTCAATTTACGAGCTCATCCCTACCTTATCTTGCACCCCAGACACGATAAATGCGCAATCCCCATAATTCGTTACTCATCATATGAAGATCGGACGAGCTAAGACGTCGTTGACATCTCGAAGAGGAAGGTACTGAAACATTGTAGCCTCCGTCGTCATCGATACTCTATATCACGATAAGACAAATAGACAAATACACCTCGGAAGATTACCGGCCACCGGTTTTCAACGGTCAAGCCTCATTGTAATCGGTAAGCAGTGTAACAGTGTCCACGGGTATCCTAGGAGTATCGTGGGAACATTGCCATTACTTGAAAGTTGATGCTAATGAGCGATTTTGATTGAAGAACAGTACGATCGATAGAACCACCGAGTATTCCTAGGAATTAGCATCGAGTGCACAAAAGAAATACGAAATGTCTGTTCGCAGCTTGGATAGCCAAGAGAATAATAAAATAAACTCTTGTAATCTTCAGGTTTAAATTTGATAAATTAAAAGCTTTTAATGTCTCGTATCAGATTTGACAATTGAATGCTTTCAATATCCCAATCAAAGTTCCAAAGTCAGATGCTTTCAATGTGTCAATACAAGTGTGACAGTTAAATGTTTTGAATGTTCCAACTCAGATTTCACAATACGATGCTTCCAATTTCACAGTTAATATCGGACAATTAATTGTTCTTATTGTATCAATTCAGATACTAGGTAGAACAATTCAATATTGGGTAGTTTGGAAACACCAATTCATGTTTAACAATTAGGTACTGTAAACATCTATCCTACTTCCAATTTCAAACGATCAAATGCTCTCTGGCTCCCTCATTGTCAGATGTCAAAAGGGGTGTATCTTGGGTACTTAGCATTTAAGTAATTTCGTCCATTGGGTAAACGAACATTCGTAGTAGTAAATCAAATAGAAGGGTGGTCACTGAGTAAGTAAAAGCTCATAAGTTTATATGTTTAATATGTCAAATTAATGTATCCATGTTATTCCGTTACTGTAGTACAGTCGAAAGAAAGTGTCCGATTCCCATCCATGCCATGCCCATCCTCATCGCAATAAATACAATTTGCTTCCTTCATTCCTCATCCATGCATATTCCAATCTAAAATAGCTAATATCTATAGATCTATAGAGTATAATCATTCAACCATTTGTTGAGGAAATCCAACGAAGCCTCAGGTTGGTCCATTGGGACCATGTGTCCAGCACCAAAGATACGAGCGAATGTGAAGTTGCCACTGCTCTTGAAGGTACCAGTCTTGTCTCCATTCTCCAATTGGAGGTCCTTGGTCTTGGCGGCGTTGAAAGCCTTTTGGCCAGGCCACTCAAGAGCATCAGTCCATGCTTGGTTTCCGAGCCAGTTGCAGATGAAATCGGCATCACCAGCGTAGATCAAGACTGGAATTTGCTCGAGGATACCTGGTACCAAACGGTGGAAAGGTTGCATCCAGTCACCTTGGAAGAGGAAGTTTCTGTTGATATCAAAGTTGCAGCTGTCATAACTGCTGACTTCGACACCGAGCTCCTTTTGAACATCGGCTTTGTTCAAGAACTCGCTAATCCAGCCAAGGGCAGAGTAGCATAAGTTGCTGGTGTCTTCACATTTGCCACGGACATCATAAACATTCTACAACATGTTAGCATCTTGTATTTAAAGTATTTTTAGTTTGACATACCTGTCCAGTTCTTTGGTAAGGTCCCATCATAGCATTGTTGCAGTAAATGCTTGCTGGGACACAAGACCAAACGCTCTCGCTGTCGTAGCAGTTCTGGATCAAGCTTTGGCAACGTGGAAGAGCGTTATCCATAGCTTGGCATGCGCTGGCATCGAGAACAGCTGGCCATCCACCATCACCACAAGCCATTGGTCTGTAGTGCTCATATTGTGTAAGTCCATCGGTCAAACCGTTACCGATAAGAACAGACTTGAGGTTGATGTTGCGGTTCTTGTGAGATAAGATTTCACTGGTGAAAACAGGGATGTAATGACCAGCATAAGATTCACCAGCAATGTGGAAATCTTGCTTGGCGTATTCAGGGAATTGTTTGAAAAACAAGGTGAGAAGAGCATAAACATCCTTGCCTGCAGCAACTGTGTTGCTGACAGAGGAACCACTGTATGAGTATCCGACGTTAACCGGTTGGTCAAGGAAGATGACAGAAGCATTGGCGTTCCATGAGTATGGGTTGTTGTGTATTTTGAGGTTCTTGTCAATTGAGGAAGGGCCAAGTTCGAGGAAGAGGCCGGTCAAAGAAGAGCATCCTGGCCCTCCGTTCAACCAAAGAACGACTGGATCGTTCTTAGGGTCATTTCTAGATTCAAAGAACCCTAAATCTTATTAGCACATGTGTTCGTAGTAGAAAATGATATCGGACGGAAGTGGTGGCGCTGTGATCAAGAAATGTGCTACACCGTTAAGGCATCGAAAGAAAAGTAATACTCACAATAGAAAAGATGCTTATCATTCTCCTCATCATCCAAGTAACCACTGTATTGCTTGACGGTATCAACACCGAGCTTACTAGGGTCAACCTTCTTCGCTCTCATGTTGTATTGCTCAAGCTTTCCATCAATTTCACGCTCCTTCTCTCCCTTTGAGTTCTCAACCCAAACGCTTTGGATATCTGCGCCCTTGACAATGTAATCCCAAGTAGAATCTGGTCTTTTTGTATGAGGTTTTGGTTTAGAGAAGAAGGTAGCTTTTTCCATCTCCTCCGGGAAAAGCATTGAAACTTCATCCCAGATAGCTTTGGCTTCGGCAGTCATGCCTTTCATGGAACCAGTGAGTTGACCCAAAGATTCCATTGATTTAGACCAAGCATCAGAGACTGGCTTTGTTGCCGATTTGAATGGGTTTTGGAGAACCTGTTGTTGAGGTATGGATGCCGCAGCAGCGCCCAAAAGGACGGTTGACGCGAGAAGCTTCATGATGAAGTGCAATGAAAATAGAAGCTGTGTTGTTGTAGTTCTATTCTATTTTATATGATGATTTCCAAAAAAGATGGATGTTATGATGAAGAATAAAGAGATGGGAGATGGTAAGAAGAAAGAAGAAAGAAGAAAGATGAAGGGATGGATAGATGGATAGATGGAATGGATGGGATAGACGGGATCTTTGAATAGGGTTTCAAGGCGGTAACTGCTGAGCAAGTTGTTAGGGTAACCAAGAGCTACCCAAGTTGCTGATGTGCTCGTGCTCGTGCTCGTGCTTGTGTGCGTGTTGTGCTCGTGCCTCGATTACGTAGCAAGGCACCCTTGGGAGTTGGAGGTTGGATGGATGCTTATCAGTCCAGTCCAGCCATGGGAATTACCGCATCCAAAACAACAACATATGGCGGAAGAATGCTCCATCGTCACAAGATCATCGCTTTGATTAATATGATTGATTAAATATCTATCAAAACATCTAATTTATGATTTTAATCCTTAGTTATCATGACCATTGTTACATCAAGTTGCCTCGAAATCTCTCCAAAATATCAACGTAGAAGCTTGATATCATCTCAACTTGAAGCTGTCGGAGCTCATCCTTCCAACAGTTTGAAGAGAAACCCAGCGTATCACAACAGAGCCTGGGGTTAGCTGGAGTCCAAGATTCCCCTGACGCCACTGCATAGTAAATCTGTCAAGGTACCCGCGTTGGACACATGACTCCGGTCTCAGACTTCCATTCACCGATAAACCATGATTCAGATGTGAATACGACTAGGTATGATGGCTGCTGTACGGTAAAGGAGACTCTGATAGAATCGTACTTCCTTCATCAATGAAGAATCAAGATGGCTCATCGTGACTCATGATGAAGATATTTCACGAATTGTTGATATTGAGGTATCTACAGACTGCTTCTGCCTCGCCTTCTCACGCTCTCATCCCACTAAGATAAGTGTAGATAAGCTCGAGATGCTTAGAAATGACGGCGAAGTTGCTATCAAATATGCCGTGCCTTTATTATTAGTGACTCAGCCGTTCCGCGGGGTGATGTAAGGGTAAACCCGCGCAAAAAGAAAAATCTCCAAGACCATTGAGAAAAAAAGATATTCCAAATTCCTTTTTTCGATCAACACCACCTTACGAACCGTCAAGATGCCCATCAATCAACCCTCTAACCAGATTAAACTCACAAATGTATCCCTTGTACGATACAAAAAGGCAAAAAAGCGTTTCGAAATCGCTTGCTACAAGAACAAAGTACTCGAATGGCGTTCCGGCAACGAGAAAGACATCGACAATGTTCTTCAAATCCCTAACGTTTTCCTAAATGTTTCGCGAGGACAAACGGCACCGACGGCCGATTTAGCAAAGGCTTTTGGAAAAGATACTCCAGTGCAAGATATCATTCTCGAAATATTAAACAAGGGAGAATTACAAGTGGGAGAGAAAGAACGACATGCACAGTTGGAGCGAGTGCACAATGAAGTGCTCAGTATCGTAGCCAGTAAACTTGTGGATCCAAAATCGAAGCGGGTGTACACTACGGGAATGATAGAGAAAGCACTCGAGATGCTCAGTTCGCAGGGTTCGCAAGCACAGGAAAAAGATAGGAGTCTGGGCAGCGAAACCGCGACTCCGACGACGGGAGAAGAAGGAGAGGCAAAGCCAATACCTAGGGCGAGGGAGCATGCTTGGACGGGTGTCGTGGCTACGAAGAGCGCAAAGAGTCAGGCGTTGGAAGCGATGAAGGCATTGATTGCACACCAGCCGATTCCAGTCGCGAGAGCGAGGATGAGGTTGAGAGTTACGTTACCTACCAAGATTTTAAAGCAGGTGGTTAAGGCTCCTGGACCAAAGTCTGCTGATGAGGGAGAGGGCGATAAGAAGGAAACGGTCAAGGATAGAGTATTGGGATATGTAGAGCAGGTCGAGACTCAGGATGTGATGGGTTCAGAGTGGGAGGTAGTAGGGTTTGTAGAACCTGGTGCATTCAAGGGAATAGGAGATTTTATCAGTACGGAGACGAAGGGACAGGGAAGAGTCGAGGTGCTGGATATGGCTGTTACTCATGAAGATTAAGAGTCCAAGTATTCTGTTGTAACTTGGGTTTGATATCATTTAGCGGGTCTAGAATGGCGTTGGGGGTAGCAAAAGTAGTTTACATTCAACTAGTAGTTATATATCCTGTAGGTTGATTCATTTATCATTTTCAGAATCAAAGAAAGTTACGCCGTACACACGTGCAGAAATAATCAGAGCATTTTGTCATGGTTCAGCTACAGGAGAATGATTATATGCAGCTTAAACGTCCGATATAAACATTCCCTGCTTGAAGTTCGTTAAGAACAAAACGTGATGCAGATGTACCCTCCAAAAGTTGCCACCTGCTCCTTCCAAATCTAGAATTACAGGACCTTCGAAATGTAGGTTGCCTCCTTCCCTGCGAAGGAAAGTATAATAGGCGAAGGGGTAGCTTAGAATGCATCATCACCTGTACTCCATGATACATACACAGAGAACGCCTTCAATCACGGCTTTGGCGCGTTTGGACTCCAAATTCTTTGTAAAAACAGCTCTCATAATTCGTAGGCATAGCTAAAAATCAATCTTGGCACATTGTTCTGAAAGCACATAAGATTATAGTGAGGCCATTGATGATTTATTGTTTCCTTTTCATAAACTGATTTCCCTGGGACATGCCCAGTCACAGCATCATGCTGTAGAAGCTGTTAAGCCAGATGTAAAGTACCAGTCCATCGCAAAAGCCACACTCCACCCAACCGTAAATCCCAGAAGCGCAAATATTTAGTTTCCCTTCTTCTTGGAAACACCGACGGTTCTACCTCTGCGACCAGTGGTCTTGGAGTGTTGTCCACGGACACGGAGACCCCAGTAGTGACGGAGACCACGGTGAGCACGGATCTTCTTGAGGCGTTCCAAATCATCACGGAGCTTGGAGTCGACACCGTTGGCGAGAACTTGGGAGTCCTTACCATCGACGATATCGCGTTGTCTGTTGAGGAACCAGGATGGGATCTTGTATTGAGTTGGGTTTTGGATGATGGTAACGATTCTCTCGAGCTCTTCGGAGGTGAGTTCACCAGCGCTGTAATTAATTAGTCCTTTGCCCTTCTACTCTCGTGTCTAATGTGTTCCATACCGCTTGTTGAGATCGACATCAGCCTTCTTGCAGACCAAGTTGGAGTAACGACGTCCGACACCCTAGAATGGAATTAGAATGAGGACAAGGCGACGGGAATGATGAAATGCTCGCCTTGATTTTTGTCAGGGCAAACATAACCTTCTGCTTTCCCTCAACGTTGGTGTTGAGCAGACGCAGAATGTATTGAAAGTTGGACTTCTCCCCGCTGTAACCAAGCTGTCAGTAAAATGTCGAAATTGGGGGACCAGAAGCGATTGTTTTGAAGCGCAACCTCACTAAAGGTCGCAAAACAAAATTTTCAGCATTTCGGTCTCGAAACAGGAAAAAAAGGGCGAAATTTGGTTCCGTACGTAACAAGTGACATATTGGGCGACGGTATCTGGAATTGTCGATGGTGTCGAGAGGCGTTTCGAGAGGCAGAAAGTTCAAGAGGTCAAAAAAGTTCATACAATTCGCTTCAATTCAGGAAAGTGCAAAAGTCGATTTTAGCGCGCTTTCCGTATTTGGCTTAGTCAAGTCATGTGTTTAGGGCAAACTACAATCAAGCGAGCCAAAACGGAAGGAACTCCCAAAAATTTACAGCATCAAGATCATACCGAAATTTTCCGTACTAACGACCGCAGCAACCAAACGTCAAGATGGTACGTTGAATGTGTTTCCTATTGTTACTCTGGAGGGTGTACGATTGTTTGGAATCAATTGCGACAATTAGATGTTGGAAAATGGATAATTGGGGACTGGGCGATGGAGGAGCCGACTGCAGGGAAATTCGAAGCTGCTGAGCCAGATCTTTGGCTCAACTGATCTTAGAAGTTTTGCAAAAGATATCGCAGGTGGTGGGAGGACTTTATTGCAAAGAAATCCGGCACTGCTGAGTCGAGTTCTCGGCCCCTCTGTCCTGGGTACATAGCAGATTGCGCTGGTGTCGGAAGACTTACCTGTGCCGTCATAGTTTGGATGTACAACTTTTGGGACAAATTGCTAATCAAGATGTCTGCTTATAGGTACGATACGCTGCTACTGAGATAGGTACGAAAACGCAATCGACTTTGCTTGCCTCCGATACCTCCCTTGGGTAATTGCTGACTTTACGATCAGAATCGGCCAAGAGCGCCAGATCCCGCGGTTCTTACCTCCGTGTTTCTTTCAAGAATACCCGTGAGACAGCACAAGCTATCAACGCAAGTTTTCGAACTCCTTACGATTCGACAAATACTAATATTGCGTAGGGATGGAAGCTTCAGCGCGCCGTCAAGTTCCTTGAGAACGTTCAAGAACACAAGGAGGCTGTCCCAATGAGAAGATACGCCGGAGGAACTGGACGTGCTGCTCAAGGTATGTTCGAGCAATGATATCAGAAGGGAATCGAGAAGTTCGGGGTAGAAATGAATGGGAGGCTGATAGGGATATTCAATAGGAAAGCAATTCGGTGTTACCCGTGCTAGATGGCCAGTCAAGTCCGCCGAGTTCCTCCTCGGTCTCTTGAAGAACGCTGAGGCCAACGCCGATACCAAGGGTCTCGATACCGGAAACTTGATCGTTAAGCACATCCAAGTCAACCAAGCACCAAAGCAACGTCGCCGAACTTACCGTGCTCACGGTCGTGTAAGTTCACATCGAAAATCTACGATACATCCAATACTAATGCATAACAGATTAACCCATACATGTCAAATCCCTGCCACATCGAATTGATCTTGACCGAAGGAGAGGAAGTTGTTCAAAAGTCCGAGGCCGTTGTTGGACGTGAGACCGCACACTTGTCTTCAAGACAACGTGGTGCTCGTATCCGTCAAGCTATCACTGCTGCATAGATGTTCTCTTTTTATGGTTGGCTGGGGTTTGCGCGATTGGGCATTGATATGAAGGTCATCATACAAGGATATTTCAAAAAATGGATGGCTTGTACAGGTGACATATTGCTGCACTATAAATGAACCATTAAATGAAATACTTGCAGAAAATTTAATTGCCTCTTGACGAATTTATCTGACTTTTTCCACGGGTGCTTGTGATATATTTACTATTTGTTCTCGAGTACTGCCAAGTCAGGCACAATCTTATGGGAGTTGGAGAACCCTCAAGGTCCAGGTTGGATCAGACACTAGCTATCACCTGCAGGTCTCAATTCTCTTTCACGAGCCAGATGAGGGCCTAGATCGTTCTAAAACGGTTGGCAACTCAGCAGTCATCAACGGAGCGGTAATTGGCTTTCAACGACTAGAGAGATTTCGGCATCGTGAGTAACTACATCCCAGCTCTCCATACTTCGATACATCCAGGCTCAGGCCCTGTCTACTTGCAGCACAACCCTGTCAAGCACCTCAATATAATCGGCTCGCTCCTTCGCCTGGATCGAATACAGCAACACTTAAATACTTACATAACATGATCTGCATTTCGGATATCTCGCTACCGGCTTTACACATACAAGTCCAAACCCCTTTTACACCTCACCCAGTACAGTCTTGTGTCTCTCGATGCAACATAGCATATTAACGCCATCTACCGCCCAAATATCCTTCAGCTTTCAACAAGCAAGAGCGTAGATCACTTATCACACTTCCATATTACTATTACCTTCAGCATCGAGTCCTTCCATATCGAGTTTTCTACAGGATACCCAACATCTACCCAATGTTTCCCATTTAGCTCCTCCTCTTCCATGCTTATCTCTATTCTATCTCACTCTATCTTCGGCCTTCAAACATACCATCACCCTCAATCTCCCACCATTCATTTTCATCTCCTATACTCCCTCAAATCCCCATTCTACCCATCCCATCCACCCAACATACATCTGTCTCCTCTCCTCTCTCCTACCATTCCCATCCTCACCTCTCCGTAAACATAACCACCTCTCACTCCATCACTCCATCACCCCATCTAACCCACCTCACCAGATCAACACTGCCCAAATCTACCTTCTTTCTTCCACGCCCTCATCATCATGATCATCAAAACCGCCATCACCAATCTCTGAATGTTTCACAATCTATAGTTGATCCCCAACCATGATTATACCTTTCTAAAGGGACGCAACGAACAAAGATCAAGAGGAGAGAGTAAAATTAAAAAAATTGAATGACAGAGGACATCAGTAAAGAGCCGTTCATAAATTAGAATAAACTTACTAGGAGTTTTCAAATGGCCTTCTCAAGTGCAATTTGAGAATCGCTTTGGATCAAATTGAGATGGTCTGAAATATCGAATGCATTCTAAATATTGTAATGCTCGCGAACATCGGAAGCTATTCAGACCATCGAACACCTCTTACTCATCATTATCATAGCATACAATCACGTCACATCAACGCACCACATAATTTTAATGAATCTTCATCTTGTAAATTATACACTATTCCTACAAAGCAACAAAAATTTTCCGATCATCTTTATCGTTTTCACCCATATCAGTTCCCAAAGCGCCATAAAATATTTCATGTCAACATTCCAATGATTGATAGACATCAGCAAATCTGTGATACAGAAGGTGCATCTGATCTAATCGATGGCGTTGAACACAATTATCGTGACCTTGAAATGTCCGACATGTTCGCTGAACTCCCTCCCCAATGGTTTTCCATATCAAACTCCCGTCCAATCCAGATTATAAGTCGTGAGACCAGTTATTTACCCTGATATTCAACCTGAAATGCAAGTTTGAGATAACACCAAGAGCCCATTCGTTATGCATTGATGTCATGCCCTAATGACCCCGCTATGCTGCCCAAAGAAAGGGAAAAAGTGGTAGTATACAAGAAATATGTGAATGAGATAATAAAGCCGTCCTAAGACTTCTTTATCCCATACAAACACACCCGGAAGAAAGAAATCATGGTACCAGTAGGGTTAGTACAGTGAAAAGTCGACTGCAACTTGTGCCCTTGTAAATCATGAGAACAGTTCATGATGTGTTGAATTAGACTTCGGGAGCTGAAGCCGGAGTTTGAGCTGCAGCTACAATGGATCCATTGAATCTTCCAAAGCCTGCGCGTAGAATCCCATCATGATTAGCTTCAGTTGTTAGCTGCCTAGGTAGGCTTCCCCAACCAATGGTCAAGGTCCACGCATTTTGGAGAACTTCAACCTCAAGATCGCTCATGGCATTTGTAATTGACGCAAGTAGGCAATCACCTGGTTTCATCATGATGCTCTCATAGTCATTGATTCTCTTTGTTACTCCAGCAGGTACGGATCCCCGCTGCTCACCACCACCCTCATGGATTGCCGATTGATTGAATTCGAGGGGAAGCCGGGCATATCCACATGACTTGAAGAAGACTTGTTTCAAACTACTCTGAGTTCTGGGTTGGGGCTCTGCACCAAATTCTTTGGCATGACGCAAATCTGCTAGCCTAATACCAGGAGTCAAAGTGTCAATAACCTGAGCCCAGGAGCCATTACGAGGTTCATTGAGCCATGCTAGTTGGACATTTGAATTGGCCATGACCGCTGGCAACTGAGTTGCTGGCGGTGCTGCTGCTAGAAATGGTGGCACTGCAGCCATGTTGGGCGGAAACAAGGCGGCATGTGCAGCAAGATGATGATTATTCGCGAAGCCCAAGTTTGTCGCCAAATCTACCGCCATGGCTTGTGCCAAAGCATTTTGCTGGTGATTGGCTCGAGGCATTGGATGTTGTCCAGGGCGAATGAAGGCGGTCAATGAAACCGAATCAAGTGTTAACGATTGAAGGCTGCATTGTTTGAGATCTTTGACAAAGCGCGTGAATACATGTGGACTTAACCAGCAATTCTTCAACGACAAATTCTTGATATAGGGTAGTGACAGAACTTCCTTCTCTCCTTTTCTACTAACCATGCTCATCGAATCTGATACTATGGGAGCAGCAAGTATATGCTGGTTCCGGCAGAAGAGACCAGGTGCATACTCTCCACCGCCGACCCATTCAAAATGTAAAGACTCAATCTTCTGTCGTCGAGATATTTGTTTGGAAAGAAGCTGAAAGACACCAATGACAGCCTTAGATGGACGTAACTTGATATCTTGAACCCAACTGGTAGGAAGTTTGACAAGTTCACGCCAGTCGGGAATTATGCCTAGAGATAGCTCAAGCAAATTTGGGAGACTATTCCAGAAATCGTCGCGTACGAGGTTTGGTAAATGTCTATTTGGCAAGCGGGCGATGGTAAGTTTCTTAACACCAGAGAATGTGACTGGACTGTCAATAACAGCAATGGTAAAAGTTTGCATGAATGCTCGCTGTGCCCATTCGAGTTCAAGTAACATTTCTTTTTGTGCGCCGGTGAGTTCGTTCGGCTTTAGACCATGGCACTTTGGTGCTAGCTTGCGCTTACGACCCGGGGTGCCGTTAAATCTAGGGCGTCCAGGATCATTGTTGGAAACGTTGCCTTCGCTTTGACCGTCACCTTCGCCTTCACCATCAGTTGAAAGTCTATCCTCGGTGTTCAATCTTTCATCATCATCATCACCTTCTTCTTCTTCTTCTTCTTCTTCTTCTTCTTCGTCTCCTACTGCAGGATTGGCAGTTCCGAAATGATTTCCGAGTATACGAGCAATACCCTCTTCGAAATCAGCATAAGGAATGGAGGGTGTATTAGGAACTCCAGCCGGTCGAACTTGTGTACGTGCATTCGCGGGGCCCCCGTCGAAGAGAGAATGATCGAGAGATTGGTTGGTTTGGTCGCTACCGAATCCTGATTCTTGAAATACTCTTTGGAGTAATGAACGTGTATCGTTTAAAAGCTCTGTTCGAAAAGGTGGACTGATTTGATTTGGTCGCACATTCTGCTTTGGCTCCGGTTCTGGTTCGAATCTTGTTGACCCAAACACTGCGGGTTTTTCGCCACGCTGAATAACTTTATGGTTAACGTCTGGCCCAGCAAGCCATCCCAAGCCCCCATCAATAGATAGGCCAAGTTCTTCTGCGGCTACAATGAATTGAAATGCCTTTGTCATGGTTCGGGTTTCATCGGCTTTCTGCTCTAGACCCTCTAATTGTGCGTATCTATTATATTCCTGGAATGGCCATTTATAAGAACCCCAGAAAGTTGTGATTGTGTCGTGGTTATGCTTTATAGGGGGTTTAGTCAACTTTGCAATATCGACCTCGAAGGCTAATTAACTTATTAGCAATTTGTAGATATTTAGGGGTGAAACGACATACACATCGCAAAGTGTCTGATGTGCCGACCAAAACCTGAGAAACATTAGTAACGCTGGTGATCAGGAAGATAGACTTGACAACTGTATACCTTGAAAGATACGCATGCCCTTGTCTTGTAACAATATTGAACTATGAGAAGTGGACGGCTCGGAACTGATGCCATAAATCTCTGGTCTGAACGGAACCACTACATATTTGAAAAGGTATTCGGATACATTTGCTTCAAACTCATGGTTTACCAATCGCATGCTATGGATGGTGGATCGAGGTAAATTCATGATAATGAGATTAAAGATCTCCACCGGGACTCTATTGGGTGGCCAGCCATCTTGACCTACTTTGATTAATGAATTGTATTGTGAGGATGACACCTAGAACCTACTTGTTGTCATCGCCATGACTTCTTTTCCTTTTCCTTTTACGGTCTGCGCCTGGTCGGAAGTTCTTTCGCTAAGTTTGCGACGCTTTGGAGAATTGATATTATCCATTGTATGTGAGAATATACACAAGTTCAAGTGAATGAAGGTGCGGGGCACGTATAGCAACACAGGAAAGAGCGATCTTGATGTCCTTTAATTTTGAGTGCGAGGTACCTTGAGGATTATTCCGTTCTTAAAAAGAGGAATACCAAGAGCATTTCTCTTAATTTTGTCTGTGATTGCAATTGTGATCATGCACTTCTGTGTGCCGTTATACGACGATAATCTTCTTCAAAGAGTTGTAAGGTTACAAAAGAGAATTTAGGAACACTCTGAAGGAAAGAAGAGAACCAAAACAAAAATCTGTGGTTCTCTTATTAATGAAACTCCAAATCTTCCCGAATACTTTTTGTAAATACTTTTGATGGTATGAAGAATTACTAGTTATAAGAGGGATGTGATGAATTGTTGTTGTCTGTTAGGCTGAGGTTTGTGTGCCCCTCAGGTGGATGAACGTCATGCTAGTTTGGCTCGGAAGTGCAATCAAGCGGAAGGATATAGACAGCCTTGTCTGTTGATGCCTAAGGCCATAATCTCTAGACTTTGCTCTAGCTCGGCTCCTGAATCTTCTTATAATCAGTTGCGTTATATATACGGTAGGTATTCAGATGTAATTTTATTCTAGAAAGAACTTCATGTCAATTCTTTCATCTCACATACCGGCCGAATTGTCTAATTTTGATGAATTCTATGTTGGTACTCCTCTTCAACTTTAATCTCACCCACACGTATTCTTGACAGCTAGAAGGCTTCGGAGACATTGGTAGCCTTGCAGAATGGCACAACAGGGATACTAAGATAGAGTACATCTGTTTCGGAATCACGCGGGTAAGTCCGCTTTAAGAAGTCTTCTCTGAGAGCTATTTTGAGACGAAAGGAGAATCGGGCATCTCAGTCAAGTGTGATTATTCAACCAAGCTCAAAGCTAACCTTGATGTCTTTTCACAGTGCGCCGCAGTACATTATTACAAAAGGGGGAGGCTGCTAAACGATACAAGTATATATGTCTCCAACGGGATGTATTTGAATTGAGTACCGGAGTGGCTAGAACGATTATCTCATTCAATTTTTGACCTTCAGAGACTCGAAAGATTGCTACAAATGCTTAAAATTCGATCTTTTGCCCAAGTCACGGTATGCTGGGCTTGATTCTCATGGGACTTCTCGACAACACTGTATAGAGTTGATATCTAATCTGAGAACCCTCTTCCATAGACTTGTGATCTCGAGCAACCGCATATCGACAATCAGACTTTGATGCAAGTGATGGTTGAAAGTCTCAAAGACTTTCGACCAAAGTCGACATTCCATCAAACAATTTTAGCACATCTGCCTATATCCACCCCTGCACCATTGTAGAGTTGCCTAAATTTTGTTCTAGGCTTTTCTCCTTCAGTTGATGAGTCGGAATTTGGCGTTCTAGATATCCTTGACGCATGTCTCTTTAGCATTATACTTGATGGCGATTTTTCAACGGCTGGTAATGATAGTAATATATTATCTGCCGAATTTTGTTTGGAGGCTGTGGCTTCACTAGATTCATCCTTCATTTCCTGAAGTGATATATCTACCCGTGCTCCATCTAGGTACGTACTATGAGTCCATGCAGACTCCAATCCCGGAAGGAATTGCTCTAGCTCGCGCATTTCAACCCAAGATATTGTATCTTCGGTCATAGCAATATATAAGTCTTCAATATTACCAAACCCATCAAGGACAGCGCAATATTTCTTCAAGAAGTTGACATCATAATCACTGAGGGCCTGTTCGGTTGAAGTTAGTATCGTCAACACAAGCAAAAGAAAAGCTCCGGGGCATACTCACAAATCGTGCGTCTATTTGTCGAAGCATAGGAAGGCCTCTTAGATTTTTGACATCACAGATCTTGGCCACAAGTGGTTGCCAAGGTCTTCCTCGCAGGACTGGCGCAAAAGCAGAACTCACGGCCTCCTTGAACGAATCACTATTTGTGTCGGACACAACTATCTTTTGATGCAAGCCTCGAGATAGGCATCTTTTGTAAGCTGCCGTGTCCTTTTCAAAAGGGAAAGGCTGGGATGATGTGGGCATAAGGGAGACGTGTACAGTCCATGAACAAGTCCCACATCGATCGCCCGAAAGATCTCCTTCCAGGAATTCCTGACCTGATGCAGAACCATTTATAGGCGTTTTGAAATCCCTTATAACACCAACTTCTCCAGGACTTATCGTGTTCTCAATTGCGATCTGCAAATTCGCAGTAGGAGGCGTCGATGCTTTTCTTCTTCGAGTCCTCTTTGAAGGCGCGAGAGTTCGCGCCGAGACATTTTCAAGAGCGTCTACTCTATCTTCTACTTTCATTGACGCATCGTCCAACTCGATCATCCTAGCATGAATTCTGTGTACGTCATCCACTAATCCTTCGATCCGATCATCGTAATATGGTGTTCGCTTGTTCAAGAGGCCAACGTTCTGCCAAAGACCGCCGATGCCACGATGAATACTCCGCATCTCAACTTCGCGTTCCAAGTTCTCTTTTTCAACAAGTTCTTCTAATTTTATAAGCCGATCAAACAAGCCACCTTTCCCTATACGCCGTTCTCGATCTAGCTCCTCCTCGAGAGTACCAATCCTCAACTTCAATGCATCTAATTCTTCTTTACTAGAGGATTCTGGGTCTGAATTGTGATATACTGCCTGGTGTCCGCAATGGCACAAACTGCCTGGAATGGACCTATTGCATGCAAATCCGACGCACGCGCATCGCAGCTGCTTTGATTCGGGATATAGTATAATGAATCTGCAACCACCCTTGGGAAGATGTGAATCATTTGTGTGAGTTTTGTCACAATAGGGCTCGGACATGCTCGTAGCATCTGATGCTATAAAAAGTAGAAAACTCCAGGAGGAAACTCGACATCAGGGTCTAAGAAAGTTTATTGCAATGATAATTTGATTCAGAGTGGCTTATATCAGATCCTTCAACATTCGTCCGTTGTGATTCAGTCTTAATCGCTCGTTACACGTTCCAAAATGTTATTAGGGTGCATTAAACTCCATGAGCTGATCAACCTTTTTGTAGTACTCAAAGAGTCCGAAATTCGTGAGAGGTGCTTCATGATGTGCGGAACATTCTGGTTCATATTTGATGTTAATTGGCATGGGGTTATCAGTGAACAAGCCTACAAAAGTAAAGGGTGCCCAGGGTCTAAAGATAAGCACCCCTAGCCATTTGACATGTACGACCAACGCGGGTGAAACGAAATCACCTATTGGGATTAATTAAAAGACTCATGCGGGATACTACCGTACCTCCCTCATTTCAATCAACGTTCCCGGTAGAAATGAAATGGAGTCCAAAAAAAGAATACAATCATATCGTAAGACAGATATAGTTATGCAGAAAGGTGGACACTTGTGGGATTGATCTAGATTCTGGAGAAATCCCCACGCTTGTACTAAAATTTGCAAGCATATAGATGAATTTCCTCTGATCCCGGGTATATTGTACTAAAGCAAAACGGTCAAGCGGGACGAACCGCAATACTCTTTTCTTCATTGAGCTCGAAACGATTCAAGACTTTTGACAGTCTCTAGACAGTCTCTAGACATTGCTCTCTCCTGAGTCTCTCCTGAGTCTCTCCTGAGTCTCCTTTCACCTATTCAACAAAGAAGACCTTGGTGATTAAGTTACAGGTAGACCACGTATATCACCATCAGGACCCTCATTCAAACTACGCGACAGCTCGACAGACCTGCCGTGTTGCACCCAACCACATCTATACCAACCGAAAATCATCAAGCTTAACGCACTCCGAAATCCCGGAATTGAATCATATTCTGACCGATATGAAGGGCTACAATATAAATATGCATGTGAATATGACATTAAAGAACCCCCGCCAAGCTCCCCTTATACCATTATCATCAGATCCTTCAAGATATTGCAAATCAAATCACGAATTGTGCAACGCAGTATGAGAAACGTGGGGTCTGCGGCTCGTAGCCAGTCCCCCGTCTCTCCGATATCAAATGTTGTTTTGAGTGGCACCGATAATTCCCGCAAGGAGATAGCAAGTCCACCCCATCCTCGCACACCATACTGATCAAGAAATCGGAAAGCATTGGATGGGTTTTGATTGGGGTGTAACTTGACAAAAGTATGTGATGAGATAGTTTCTTGGTACACTGCTTGGAATCGGCAGGCATGTTTGTCGCAATATATAGGTGCGACATATTTATCCTGATAAGGTACCCCCCACGTTGTCAGGGTTTTCTTTGGACGGCTTATTGTTCAGTACAATCCGAGATACCTAGTAGTTTTTGGTCTTCATCTCATTTGCTAACTGCACGTGATCCGGCATTCATCTTTTACCTTTTTTTGTTTGGTTCAGATGGCAAGGAATTTTAGTGTTCAATCTTCTCTTGACCAAATCACTCGTCGCTGTAATCTTCAATTCCGAATACTTCCATATAGTGTGCTATGCTTTCACATTGGTTGCCACACGTGGTAAAACGGTCTCCTTCTCTATACTGGTACTTTTACAATATCAAACTCCAAGGCAAGTGGGTTTCGACATTCAAATTTTCGATGGGTAATATATTTACTTTAACCTTGGAGAGTACCTACCCAATGTCTCCTAAACAAGTTTCATCCTTCCAAACTTTCAAAGTGGCTAAAATGACAAGGACTTTTGCGCAATCTAGATGATGATTGCTCGAACTATGTATGTATACACAAACAGTTTCTCCATACACAAGGTCATGTATATATTAACTTTACCAAACTTCCATTACAACCCTCCTATTGGCCATTGCCGGCAAGTGGGGTAAAAATCATGGGCGGCAAGAACATGACTGTCCCCCAATCAATCAGTACCTGAAGTACCTAGTATAATTGATACCTATCTCTCCCTCTTACTAATGTGTCTCTGATTTTCGAGTTTCAATTGTATATATCCAAATTTTACCCGTTCAACACAAGTTGTGTCTTACTTTACAATGGGTGAACTAGACGAATTGGTAACTACTTTACTCGGTACCTTTACCAGTGGTATAAGACTTCTCAGAGCTCGTCGCAAGAGACAGAAAAACAGCAGTGGAAAGATTGATCATGATAAATGCGAAGAAACCCTTCTCATAAGGTCATTCAAACAATCCAGATCAGATATCCGAGAGGCATACACAAGGGAATCGATCAAATCTGGTCCCAAATTCTCCGAAGGTGATGGTATGAATCACAACCCTCATATTTGCAAGCTCCAGATTCTCATCCCAAGCTAGCGAAAGCGCGCTCTTCAATATCCACCATATTATCTCGATTAAACAGTGCTTTCACCTCCGCGGTCGTATTGTTCTCTCGCGGCAAAGTCAAGCCTGCCGATCAAGAACTCTTCATAAAACTCTCCAACAAATCACGCGCCGAAACACTCAACGCCCTCGATAATCTCTCCAAGCGCATATCAAAATCTTCCTCCTCATCCCTCGTATCCCGTGATACCGCAACCCGAAGTAAACCCCATCATCGAAAACGACATCAAACTCACCATCCCCCTCCCCCCATCCCCACCCAACCCACCGCTCTAGGACCAGCCACAAAAAATGGCTGGATCCGGCCCAAACCTACCAAAAAAGAACCGCCGAAATCCAAGACGACCCAAACTGGGAAATCAACGCTCAGGAAATCAACACGTAAAAAGAAGCCCGCGTCTTCACAACCCTTCACGCGACGAGAAGACCAAGAAACACTCCCCAAACCCGCAGCGGAAAATCGAAAATCAGGCTTCTCGTTTGCGTCGGATAGCACGAAACTGTAAGTACCATTGCATTCCATTCCATCTTCTCTCTTTTTCAGTTTCCTCTTTTCTTTTCCTATTAAAAAACCCCCCCCCATTCATCACATCCACATCCCCATCTCCACCCCCACCTCCTCCAAAAACAACACCACTTACCACCTTCCCCCCCCCCATCTAGCGGCGAAATCCCCTCATCCCGAATCGCGAGACTGCTACCTGATGCGGATGCTTCATCGCACGATCACAATCCTCGATACTATCCCATCGCGGTCGCGTTTCCGTTGGCGCCATATCAGCCCGCGCCTCGAAAACGACGGTTTGGTGTGCGAAAACTTTGGAAAAGGAGATTGGGTGGGGATGGGGGCGGCTTTGGTGATGGGAGTGGGGGTGAGTGGTAGTGTGGTGTACTTATTAGGTACTAATAATCTCTTGTGTTTTATATCGAGGTTTATGGTTGTTTGTGACGTTTGTGACGTTTGTGATGTTTGTGATATTTATAATATTTATAATATCGAAATAACCCAACTATCTAGATGATAGGTTCTAGATACCTTTACTTAGGACTCTCTTCCTCACTGGAAGAAGGCTTTTAGAGTTACGGAAAAGAAGGTTTGTACATCCATGATTTGCAGATTTCCATAGCCCACATATCAAATTACGAGTCATTATCATAAGTTTCCAAAAAATCGGTTAGGTTGAATTGTCAGCATATTGCATATCCCCAATTAAAATCAGATCAATCACAATAATAGTTATAATCAGCACTCTTACTCACACATCACTCCACTAAACCATCACACCCCCATCCCCTTCATCCTCCGCAATCTCTCTCCCAAGCTCCCCGCCACCCCCCACCTCTCCATCCCCAGCCCATCCAAAACTTTGCTCCCCTCCCCCAGCATCCTCTTCGCGCCCTTCCCATCCCGCGCACACAAATTTCCCACCCCCATAACCAGGGCTCTCATGCCCTGTCCCCTCTTGACAAAAAGCTGCACGAGCTCATCATCCGCCGGTCGATCGAGTTGCATCGTGCTGGGATAAGGATGATAGAATTGTTCTTCCTCCTCCTCATCTTCCTTCCTCTCCCTCTCCCTTTCCCTTTCCCTCTCCTTCTGTCTTCCCTCATCTCCGTGCTCAGATGCATCTCCCCCATTACCATATCTCTCCCCATCCCTTTCTCGCTGATAAACACCCCCCTTACACTCCGCAAATAGCCCATACGCCCACAGCGCCAAAGTCGCGAGATACACAGCCTCCGCCTCGTAAAACGCATCGATGCTAAACCTTCTCACGTGCCAGAAAAGCGCGCCTGCGTGAATAATGGCCAAGCGTGCTTTATGCTGATCTTCCGTTGCCCACCTCTTTACATAATCGCGTGCTTGGAGTATCTCTTTTTCTTTTTCTTTTTCATTCTCTCGATCTGCATCTCCCAGATTCGGGATTTGAGTGGCGTGTGAAGAGCCGAGATATTCTGCAAGTTTCAGAATATGTAGAAAGGGCGTGAGAAGCACTACCCTCGCTAAATGCAGATGCAGAACCGTGGGGTGTTCCATGCCGCTCGCAGCTCCAATGACACTATTTGCATGCCAATGTAATATATCCAAACAATCGCATGCGGAATTGCGCCAATTTGTGTATGTTTGGAGACCCGGTAACCAGATGGATTGATTCGAGGTGGTGTGCGGGAAGGATAATTTTGAGGCTGTGGGAGTCCATTGGGTAAGGGGTTGCGATAGGTAGTTTGAGACTTCCCAGGTGCGTCGGAAGAGACCATGGATCAGAAGGATACGGGAGAATTCACCGGTGGAGGATAGCAGTCGTTTTTCAGTGTACATGCGCTGAAGGGCGTTGTGGAGGGTAGAGCTTGCTGTGGGGGGGGAGTGTGAGAATGGTGGGATTGGGTGATGGGGATCGCTAGATACGTACATGAGGAACAGCTGAGAAGTTGCTGCCATTCAATTGCTGATTCTGCTTCCCATAAAACTTCCTGGCACGGTAAAAATACTGAACTATCGTCTAGCGATAAGCTAGGGCGAATCTGAAAGTGGAAGTACCACATACTATCTAGGAGCTAGGGAGCGTGAGAATGTATCAAATGGATATGGAAATAGAAACACATACCCAGATACAGTAACCTGTCCTTCGAATACTTTCAGCATCATACCATTCTTTCCATTCTCTATTAGCCTGTTCCGTATCATTTGGACTTGTCTGCGACACTGCAATTCTCGGCATTTGATTCGAAGTTTTCCACTCATTGCAACAAAAATCGTTAAGATCTCTATGATATGATTTCGCTGAGTGTGATAACTCATCGATACCGCTATACATCATACCTACGCAATTTAGAATTTTAATTTGTATCATCATGATCTTCGTACATCTCGTATCCCCATCATTGTTGGCTGACATGATTGCACGTCGAAGAAATTCGTGCATAGGTTTTGCGTGGTTTCCATTACCATGGTAATGACTTCCTACAGCCGCCATGGCTAAAAGAAAAAGCCAGTGAGAAGCCGAAATATTGAAAGACGGCAGGTGAATAAATGGTAATGTTTGATGGAAAGAGTCAATATAGTGAGCTATAAAGCGGCTTAGTGTATACAGAGATGGGAATCGGGTAATTTGGAATGGCGTAAAATATGGCGAGTTCTCGATGCATGTTTTTTCGAATACATCCTGAATAATGTTGTAGATTTGGTGTGGTAACTGTCTATAATCTGAGGAATGGCCATTGGTATCATCAACGGGAAAAGCAAATCTCCCGTTCGAATTATCAATTAAGGGATGTGATATTGATGGACATGAGTTAGCAGTCTCGGATGGAGCTTTTCGAATACGGGGTAATCTCGAACCATGTCCATCAACATAGTATCGACCAGTGCTTTGCGTAGTCAGAGAATTAGGACTTGTTGCAGCACCTTCACTAGATATTGTTGGATTAGGAGAATTGTTCGTATGCAGTTGCGCTTGAGTTTGCGGGGACGGTGTAAAAATGGCTGTATTGGTTGAATACGTAGGCCCTCGGATAGATTGCCCTGGAACGGTAATAGGCGATGAGCCATTCAGATCTGTCCTATCATCAATCATTCTCACTGCGTCATCATCTAGTTGATAGTCTGGAGCCCAATCATAAGGTAGCCAGTTGATGGAGGATACATTATATTGAGCCCAAGAACCAGCACTTTCTGGCAAACCTTCAGAAAGACCCGTGTCCTGGATGTGTAGCTGATGTGAAGCCTGAGTCGTTCCAATCAATAACGAGTTGGCAGCTCCATCAAGATCCATAATTGAATGAAGGGGTAACATTGAAGGTGAAGTTGATTGATGGTTAGGAGACGTAGTCGAGTTTACGCGAGCATCTTCGGACATTTGATTTACTGTTGTATGGCTTGACGGAGAAAATTGGTTGAATGGTTGATGAATGCCAGAACTCATGATTTGGATATTCATCTGTTGACCAGTAGCATTCAGATTCTCCAACCCAAACTCTGAACGGTAATGGCTAATCGAAGATCTAGGGTTCATTTGCGGATTGAGCGGTGAATCAGCATGTGACCACGAAATTGGAGATTGCGGACTCGTGATTCCTTCCCCTGTTCGACCATTTTCAACCCAAGCCTTTTCATTCAAAACTTTCTCGTATATCCCATTGGATTCTCGACGTTTTTCGTTGGCCATAGCACGAGACGACGAGGGAAAGGTACACTCAATTGATCTTTTCGCGCATGCTTCGCATGGATTCCCCCCACTGCATCTTCGTCTCGCCATTGCACAAGCGGAACAAGCTCTAGCTCCCCTTCCCAGCAAGCTTCGTTTTGCCTTCTTGTGAACCAATTCATGTCGACGTAAAGCATCACTTTGAACATTAGCAACTATCTCTGGTCATCCATTGATGCACGATCTGTGGACAGAACGTTCCAAACTCACATCCGATAAAAACTCTTCCTACACCCCCTAGCTTCACATATCAGCCATCCCTCTTTTGTATGGCTCTTCTCATGTCTCGTCAAATGTTCCACTCTCCCAAATGTTTGTTCGCAACTCGTGCAGCTGAACCTTGCGATCCTCGCAAATTCTCCTTGCCGTGTATCTTCACTGCCATCTATTGTACCATTAGTCCAATTCTACACATTGGCGTACGTACAATATATGTAAATACAGAGCATTTAATGAGTCACACACTAAATTCGACCTCCAAGGATCCGATGCCATTGCGGTTTCCTTGAGAATCACCTGTAGCCTGGCCATCTCCCCTCAATTGAGAATCCATAGCATTTCAATATTTTCTGGTGTCGATATTTATCCTCCGTGTCCTAGGTACCTCGTTTTAGCTCAACCAAAAAAACATGACCAAATCAATATAAATACCCAATAAGAAGAAACATCGAACATCTCGAACCAAATATCCAACCTTCACCAGCTCGCACCATCCACGTGTGCTGGCCCGTACAACCCAACGAGCGCTATTTCCCCGCATCTCCGCATATCAGACTTCATACGATGTAAATGTAAATGCAAGGCTTTCAACCTTGTCATGTCGCTGATTGGTCGCGCATATAACGGTGACAAAATTCGGCCAGTGAAAAGACCGAGGTGAAGCTAAGATCTATGGGGTACGAGATCTGTTCACGTGATATTGAGTTCTCCGTTTGTCTCTTTTGAGTTGCCACTGATTAACAATGCAATCTGTTATACTTTCTTCCGTCATTCATTCATTCATTCATTCATATAGCTTGTGTGAGTTTATAAGCATCTCATTGAAGTTTGATGTATACTCAAGTATCACCACCCTACTAATCTAGCTTTATCTATTATCCTCCTCATTCATTTCTAAGTCCATTTCCATCCACTTGTGATACATGCATGCAAGACCAGCTTTGCAATATTTGCCATTCCGTTCATCCTTCCAAATGTCCTTCTTTTATAGATGTCCATATCTTATGCATATGCCCAGGCCATTTCCCAAAACTCCCCGCTAAACTGCAAAATGTAGCACCGCCCAAAATGCCAAGATATCATCTGGTCGTCCCCATGATCATATATATACATGCAACCTGATACTCATACATATTATCTCCCATACATCGACACCCATCTCTTTCTCGTACCCTTCATTTATCACGGATTGTTTCGCCCAAATAGCCCATATCCTCCAAGAAATCCGCTAACGCACTCCCTCCTACTTTCGCGCTGCTTTCTTGAATCCCGTTTGCGAACCCCGAATCGCGAGGATAAGAATCATTACTGTTTGTTTTTGATATTGGATTTGAAGCCTTGCGGATAGTCTGTTCGGAAGCAATATCTTCATCTGGTAAGCTATATCCTATGAATTTTCTTTTTTCCACCTCTGAGATCATTGGGTTATATGTAAAAGTATCGCCCGTTTCTTCATTCA